CTTTGACACTTTATATCACAATATTCTTTTTGATAAGCTTGACCATTACGGAATTCGTGGATTAGCTTTGGACAATTCGTTCAATTTAATGATTACTGTTCCTGTCCTAATAAAATACAATGTGGGGTCCGCACAAGATTCTATCCTTGGCCCGCTGCTCTTTTTAATTTATATCAATGATATAATCCATGTGTCAAGTATAGCTTATCTTATTTGCGGATGATACAAACTTATTTATTTCGAATAAAGACCCAATACAATTACCTAATATTTTGAATATTGAAATTAGAAAATTGTCAGACTGGTTTAAATCAAATAAGCTTTCATTAAACTTAGAAAAAACAAAATTTATTGTATTTAAACCAAGACAAAAGAAATATATAATTATACTTTTAAATAATCATTAATAATGAATATATTGAGCAAGTGAAAGAAACCGGCTGTCTTTTTATTAAGGGGTTAGTATTGGATGAGGAATTATCTTGGAAATCACACATTTCGTATGTAGCACGTAAAATGTCTAAATCCATAGGAATAATGTTAAGAGCCAGTTTTTATCTACTTAAGAAATCCTTACTCACTTTGTACTATTCAATTGTTTACCCGTATATCCAATATTGTAATATTGTTTGGGCTTCAACGTATCCAAATAATCTTCATCGTATCAATATGTTGCAAAAGCGTGTAATTAGAATTCCAAATAAATGTAAATTTGATGCACATATGCAGAACCTTTATTTAAGAACTGTTCTATCCTTAAAGTTAATGATATTTTTCTATTTCAACTGGGTAAATTTATGTACTCTTATCGCAGTGGTCTTTTACCAAATAAATTTAATTAATGACATGTTTCTATCAAATTATCAAGTCCACTCATATAATACAAGGAGTGCGATGGCCATTAGAACTCCATTGTGTCGTACAAATATCCAACAATTTTCTGTAAGATTTCAGGGTCCAAAGTTTTTTAACTCACTACCTATTTATATTATTAATATTACTTCTTTTGTTTCTTTTAAAAGAAAATTAAAAAATTATTTATTATAAAATAAATAATTACCTTATACATTGAAATTATTTTTTTTATTTCTTATATATTTATAACGAAATGAACGAATATTCTTTGTTACTGTGCGCTAATAGAATCAAGTGTATATATATTGAATTGTTATAGAAAGAAGTTATAGAAGAATATTGAATTGTTAGATATACATATATACATATATATATATATATATATATATATATATATATATATATATATATATATATCACAAGTTTTGTAACGTATAGTGAAGAGAGTGCTCAATACATAAAATTATGTAGAGCGAATGTAGTTACTATTCTTACTTAAAATGTTTTTTGTCTCTACTCCGAGTTTCACGCATCGCTGCGATCATCAGGAGACATTGTTCTCAATAACAATGAGAACAATGTCTCCTGATGATCGCAGCGATGCGTGAAACTCGGAGTAGAGACAAAAAACATTTTAAGTAAGAATAGTAACTATATATATATATATATATATATATATATATATATATATATATATATATATATATATATTGTATATATGGTTTAAACATATTATACAATATATCAGTCAAATTAACATGAGAAGTATTTTTAAAAACTTTCAGTGAATGGAATACGGTTTGAAAGTCAGTAAAAGTATAACACATGTAGCCTCAGGTAAAACGCTTCAAGTTGATATTTTAAATCTTAAACTGTATATCAACCTACGGACGTGCAAGCTTGTACATTCGCGTTTCATCCTGACAATATCACGAAATATCATAAAAAAGAATAAGTGAGAAGGATTCAAGGACTTTCTTAACTCTTAAGGGCTATTAAGAGCTCCATCTTCAAAATTCAAGGACTTTCAAGGAATGTTGGGCATTTTCTTGGACTTGGAAGGCCATGTGTCTATACACTGCAATATCGAGGTTGCATCATTCAGATGCATGGAGCAGCTATAAAAGCGCGATAAATCGGAGAGAAGATTGTATCCAGAAGAGGCGAACAGCTATCAAGAAGACAAAATAGTCTGAAAAAGTTAATCAAAGATTTAACCTGTAAAACGCATATTAAAGGTGTGTTTCTATATGTTTTCTGTCCTACTTGTTAATATTTTTAATAAATTATTATTTAGTACTCATAGAAGGGCTGGTTGTATAAAAACGTTAACCATATCGTTAGCGTTAACCATGCATGCACTGACAAAATGTAGTCAGTCGGATAGTTAATCACATGGTCAACTGCGCCGTACGGTGCTTAAATTAAACACAAAATTTGACATAACTGAAGTGATTAATGACCGCTGACAAGAATTTTTAACATAATTGTGGACTCGTATTTTGGAAAAAGGCGGGAATTTGATTCAAAATGAAACAAGAAAACCAGGCAAAACAAGGCAGTTTTTCGTGAGATATCTACGTTAAATAGAAGTGTAGCAGCTTGCTCTTCGTGTAATGGGTCCTACTTCGTCTTTGAGAAATCTTCCTGTGCAAAAATATATTATTCTGTTTTCGCCACCAAAACAAGGCGTTTATAAACTGCCAGAAAACATTCACAGGGAAGATAGCGATTGGAAAGTGTTGATTTTCATTGTTGTCTTACTGAAAAATGTTGCATGTTCACTCCTAAAAGCGTCATTTTTATAACTACGTTTTGAGAAGTTAACGATACCCTAAAATATCGCTAACTATACATATTAAAATGTATATGTCTAAAAATACAACCGACTTAACTATACGTGGTAATAACTAACTACTATTTAACTACAAAAGGGATGGCTAAAATAGTTCAGAATAGCTATTATATAGCCGGCCCAATAGGTTGGATTCTTGCAATAGACCCGTTGCACATGACGACACAGCGCCGGTGACGATGCATTTGGAGGACAAATTAGCAATCTATGCATAATATAACTTTAATTTGTATAAACAAAGCAAATTTTGTAAAAGTTTATAATAATTTTGTGTTAAAATGGTTAATTTTTGCGCTGTATGTGGTGGTACTCCGGTTCCCTCCTCTAATAACCATGATTGTCCTTCCTGGATCTCTGCGAAGAATAGTTTAGAATTTTGTATAAGTAAAACTGATAGTTATCCACTATGCTGTAGTTTAGTTTACCCATGTTGTGTGTTTTTAGGTATGGCAACCAAACAAAAGTTCGTTTTTGTGTTCATTTGCTGTTTGCTTTTGATAAGTATGGCTGAAAGTTCAAGATTGAGTCGATGTCTTAGTGCTTGTAATAAAGGCACAAAAGCAATTCAAGCATTTTGCAGAACCGTCCCTTTGCCTCAGATTAGAGCAATTTGTTGGGGATATCAGTTTGCCGGACCAACCGCGTGCAGAGGATTCTGTTATTGGTACTTTAACTAGTATGGTGACTGAAAGACTACAACATATCTACTGTACCTATAAATAGTCACTTACATCGGACAAATAATATTAAATCTTTACAGTTTAGAGACATTACTTATCGGACACGTACTTTTCAGTTCTGGTACTTTGAAATAATCGTAGAAAAATGTAAGCAAGTTCAAATAAAATATTCGATGAAGCAAACTATGTTTTACGGTGTGTATATATACTTGCAGACACTATTTATTTTCGGGAAAGCTTTTCAAATTTGGTAAGTAGATTATCTTTAAAAACATATAAATGTTTTAATATTCTCAGATCTAAATAAGGCAACCTCGGTAGAACAGCCTTCACTTCTAAATTAGGTGCACATGGATCAATATCAAATGAGTCATAGATCTGATTTCCGTTCATCATCAATTGAGCAAATACATTCACCGGATTTTGGATATCACTGCACGTTGTCTGAGGGTATTGCTATTGCTTGGGTCTTTAATTAATTGGGCAGCAACAAGAACATATATTATTGTCCATGCATTGCTTACCATAGCAAGGGCCAAGTTTTTAGATTGAGAAAGCTTTTAGGGAAGTATAACCATTCAGTTGTTGTTTTATGAGCTTTTTGAACACAGTGATTGTGGGCATTGAAGCTTTTACTTTTTGGGAGGGCAGCTTGATTGGTAGGAATTGTTACATTTTCACTTTTTGATGTGGATATTGAGGCTGTTGAGGCTGCTGTTGATGACATACTGTAGCTGGTTTTGTTCTTCGATAAGTTCGATTGGCTTGACATGGGTGCTTAGATGTTGATTCTGAGGTAGTGACTTTTGGTGTTGATGCTTTTGTTATGGGGGTGTTTGAAGACGCATGTATTCTTGAACTACCTTTTCTGGCCTCTGATGCAGTACTAGTATGCCACTTGCAAGGACAATTCGGTATTTTTCATGGTGTGCAAACTTTCATGGGACAAATAAGACAATGTACTGGTGACGTGCCTCCCATGACCTAGAGTTGGTGAAACGGAACAGTGTGTTGGCTTTTGTGGTTGCGATGCCTTTGGTTGGGTAGGTTGATGACATTTTTGTGGTCTCTTCGATGTTAAATTTCATATTTCAACATTTATCGATCCCTTCTACAGATTGGAGCATAGAGCTGGACGTTTCAAGATCACCAATTGTATCCTCGTCAGTTTCTGAATCTTAGACTGCGATATCAGACTGATCTCAGCCGATTCTGGAGCGGCAGAGAAACAGTCTGCGATCAATCCTGACACTAATGCCGTACAGTTGCCCCGCTCAACGGGGGAGCGGAATATGACTGGTTGAAATTTTCCTTTGTGATCACGCCGAAAATTGCATAGATTACATTGTTTTGTATAATAATTCATAGTTGCTTGCGTCCGCCATCTTGGACTTGACATTTTTTAATAATTTTAAATTAATTCTGCAAAATACTGTTTACGTAACTGTACGCCATTAGTGTTGATTGATCGCAGACTGTTTCTCCGCCGCTCCAGTGGGGGTCGACTGAGATCAGTCTGCTATCGCAGACTACTGAATCTGGGCTTTCCTCACTATATCTGGTTTGGAACTTGTTTGAAAATACCATCTTCAATGGTTTTTCCAAATCTTTCATTTTTTCATCGAAGAACTGCCTACAGTTAGTGCAGTAATACTCGTCAATGCAACACTCATGAAATGAGTTGTCCAATGTTGATACTCATCCGTAATCTGACAATTTGACAAGTCCCCATTTGCATCTTCAGATGGTGGTGTTTTGCTTTGAAAGCCGAGGGGTAGGACAGTTTCTGGCATTACATTAGCAGCAAACATGTCTGGCAAAACAAGTTTTGTTGCTGTTTTCTTTCCACTCTTATGCTGTGCAGATAAACTTGATGGATTGTCAATAATCCTTCCAAGAATGTTTGACAATTGTCCGACGCAATTAGTCTTCAGGTACTTTAGTTGATTTTGAGAAAAGTATGACTCTTGTGCATACCGAATGGTGCTTTGTTGTAATGTCGCCGTGTCGCCGCTTTAAACAGGTAAACATAAGCCGCATTCTGCGCATAGCACTAAAATATCCATTTTAGTTGTTCTCCTTGAATGAAATCGTATAAATCGAGAGTACGAGTAGAACTGAAAATAACTGAACGTAACAACAACATAATTATGCCTAATACCTTTGTAGGTAACTGGAATGATATAAGCCACTTGTCTTCAGGTGTCGATGTGTCTGTCGCAACTTCTGTTTTAAATGCCGGCTGGACATCTTCCGGGATGGGAGTGATCCTCATCGTATAGATTGATTCTCAACCACATTCAACGTAAGCGACAATTCCGAAACATCTGATCTTGTAGAAAGACTTCACTTGACTGAACTGTGTCAGGAGTTGGACCTGGTCATGAATCTGGACATTCGTTTTCACTTTTAGGATTTAGCAATCTAACTTCACATAACGCCTTTCTTATAGTAGCATAATTTGGCCTGCTTTGATATTCTAAGCTCTTAACAGCTCGTCACTTGTTGACTGTATCATTTCTGCTGTGTCCAACTAAAAACAAATTAATGAAATGTATATTATTGTATGGCACATGGCCTATACTTACTATTATACTATGTGTTGGTGAAGCTCAAACTGTGCGGACGAAAGTCACAGTCATGCATACATGCATGTTATGTAAATTATACGAATAGGTTGTGCTACAAATGTCCAACTGACAAATAATATTTCTTAAAATTCAGAGTAAAGGTCAAGGTTCGCACGCCCTTTGGAAATTCTGCACAATGGATGTCGGCTAGCTGGATTTTTATTATAGTTCTGTAAACTCTTTGAAAAGTCTTGGAATTTCAAACTGATCTCTGAAAAATTTACTTATATAAACTTGTAGTACTAAACGTTACCTTTAAAATAATACGGTTGATAATAGAAAAAATGTTGAAAATCCCTGACCTTTACCATTATGAAGGCGGCGGAATCCTGCAGAGTGAGCGTAAGCAATAATCCTATCCGTAAACGCAACTCAGACCCGGTGTTGCCGTCGTCGTACATCTCACACAGCCAATTTTGCGCAAGTCGGAACAGATCTGCAGCAGGTCTGTTACAACTTATTGTCAATAAGCCGATATCCGGATGCGTTCGCTCGCCTTGTACCTGTCTGTCCTGACAGGTCCGCAACGGCTTGTCAACTGCAGGTCTGTTACAAGCTGTTGTGACGAGCTGCAGCAATGCTGTTTTCAACAACTTACGACAGACCTCTTGTGAACCGAGGAAAGCGCATTTTGAAGCTTGTGTATCCACCATTTTGAACAAAAAACGGCCAAACAGGTTGCCATATTTCGGTTGTAGTGTTTCGTAAAATAACAAGACTTTTATATAACAAACTTGCGAGATAATCTTTGAGAAAAACAGAACAGCCGAAGGACAAAGAAAGGTTCGAATCGTAAACAATTTTGAAAACTAATGGATCTTTCCCCTTATAACTAAAATTTTGATCTAGACAAGTCTAGACAGAAATTTCATCACAGCTTGAAAGAGCATCACAAAATTAGTAATATTCCAAAGTTTCGTTGCGAAATGTTGTAAATTGCGGATAATATGGTCCTGCGAAATTTGCAATTTTCAGTCATTTTGTATTACAAACGGGAAATTGATGCCACAACCCCCGATTGGGCTGTCAATTTCCCATACGTAATAGGCTACAAAATGACTGAAAAACGGCAAAATTCACAAGGCTATATATTATCGCATTTTACAACATTTCGCAACGAAACTTTGGAATATTGCTAATTTTGTGATGCTCTTTCAAATTATGATGAAATTTTTGTCTAGATCAAAATTTTAGTTATAAGGGGAAAGGTCCATTGGCCAGAATCTTTAAGTGCGACCGAAATATGACAACCTATTTGCACATTTTTCTTCAAAATAGTACATACACAAAGCTTCAATAAGGCGTCTTCGAACGAATTTCATTTTCATATCAACGATGAAGAACGTTGAACAACACTGGCTTGTTTATGTATTTTTCATTTCTTAAGCTGTAGATGTTGTATTCTCATTCCCACAGTTTCTTCAAAAATAGGTACGCGACGCGTACATGTATCTGCGAAAAAACTTGATTCACATTTTCATCACTTATTATAATAAATATAATAGCAAATAAGATTTTAAAGTCAAACATAGTACAAATCTAACAAGGCTGTAGACAGCACTACAGAATAAGAAGTTACAGCAGAAGTATAATGCAAGCAAGTATTTGTCCGCGTTTTTACAAGTGATTCGTCATCAATCACGTCATCCTGGCTAGTACAACCGGCACTTTGCACCTACCAAAACCTTGTACTAGCCAGGATGGTGTGAGTGAGTTAAAATTTTTGTGGACGTAAAACAATAAGGGAACCGACTCAAGTTACACTTCTGCTGTACCTTCTTATTCTGTGACAGCACGGAAAGCAGCAGGGGCAACTCACCCCCCCCCGAGAAAATTTAACTAATTTTTTGTGATGACAATTGGGTCATTCCAGAAAACATTCATACCACCCCCACAGAGGAAATAGGAAGTTAACCCCCCTACTCCCTTTGCATGCCTTAATACATTTACTATTATGAGAAACAATTTTTTCTCCCCTCCCCCTCCGGACGGTAGAAATTTCCTCTGTGGGGGAAGTACAGTTCTTTTCTGGAACGAGCCATTCTAACTCGGATAATTATGCAGTCAAAAAATAAAAATTTCATGCAAACAATATTCGAAGTTTCTATTTAGAAAACTGTCACTTGTCAATCCATACCCATGTTCAAAACTTTATTGTAATCATATGAAGCAGAAGTTCTGTCACTTGTTGTTTACACTTGAACATGCATCACTGTAGTGAAGAGTCAATCATATATCAAAGACCACTGAGAATGTTTTGAAGGTCTAGAGAATGTTTTGAAGGTCACTAGTGAAGTACATAATTCAATTCCAATCCTGTGCACAGTTAATGATATACCACACTGTTCGGTTTAACACAGCATATCCAGACAAAAACAATTTGTATTGTGGGAGAATATCAGTTTGAGTAGAAGGTATCACAAGTTTAGTTTTGTACATATTGTGTGCCATTGATCTGATCCATCCATATAATATATATATTATTGTAGCTGTTAAGTTATCCATACTAATTAATTTAGGTAATATTGTCTTGCAAGTGGGTTGTTCTGACAAAATTATCTAGCCAATATCCAGTACATTTATTCATCATTCTTGCATTAATTTCTAAACAAAAACATTTATGTTAGAAAGCAAAATAACAATATAATGAGGAGGGAGAGTGGGAATTCTTTTATTAGCATTTGAAAATGTTTGTAAACATTTTGTTTAAAAACTCTAATCACTGTTAAACCAAAATGCATAAGTATTTTAACTGATAACATCGAACAGAGTTTACTACAGAAATACAGGACCAAGATTTAATTCAATATCTCCTGAAAACATTAGTTTCTTGTGACATTGTTCATTGTCATTGACAAATATATTGCCTGCTATGTTTTGACTGTTTAAAATATTACACAACAAAATGATTGTTTTACTGTATAAATACATAATAAGATAATAAATATGTCGTATTTGACTACTTACCAGATGAGGATAAGTTTCCATGTCGATAGATAACTTCGGAAAATAGCGCAAACAAGACAAAATCAAGATATTTTCGAAGCCCAAATGTGAAAATGGCAAAGAATAACACGAGGCCAAACGCCGCCCGTTCGCAGGTTAGATGCGGGCACGACGTAAACAATTGATGTAAACTGATCGCTGATTGGCTTAAATTGTCTTAAATTATATAAGCCCGTCGCTGAATGGCTACGTGCTAACATACGGTACGGTACGGTATGGTACGGTACGGTACGTTTGCGATAGCATATATATCTGCTTCGCAGATACAAAAATCAAAACAGCTTTCTTCGCTTCCTTGCATGTGAACTTGTTTGACTTTGTTTGAGCTGTTGTTGAAAGTTTGTTTCTCAAAATTCACAAACAAGTAAACTACTAACCATGATTACGTGATTGATTTGTTTGTAATATTTCGTCCAATTGCATGCAACGAGGAATGATGACGTGTGCACAGGCCTTTATCCAATCAGAAATATAGCAATAGCACACGACAGCAAATTGGAAATTGCTACTATTTTTTAAAATAAAACAGCGGCTCTTGTAATTAATATTGCCAATGGCAATGCTTGAATGAGAAAGTGAAGCCGGAAGCGTCAATTTGACCATTTCGCGCGATTTTTCTCTTTACTCACATTTTCGATTTGTTTCCCAACCACAGGCTTGTTGTGACCGGACAAAAATTGTTTCTTGTGGACAGGTTTGGCCTCTATAAATTGTGGTTTGGCGCAGGTCTGATAACAAGGTTGCTGCAGACTTGACAAAAACAACTCGCGACAAGTCTGTTGGAATAAGCTGTAACAACCTCAGACTTGCTGCAAGTTGTTCTATCAGACCTGTTATCTCTTGTTAGTAATAGTAACAGGTTTATAATTGGTTTGTAGCGGGTCGTTTCAATACGTCACTACGGCTCTGTCGTCAACAGCTTGCGATAGACCTGTTCCAGCAAGCTTGTCACCGCCTGACGAAACCAACAGACCTGTCGCGATTTGTTGACAACTTGCCGCAAGCGGGTAAAATCAACAACTTGCGACAGGCCTGTGAAATTTCTGGCTGTGCATGTACTAGTCAACTTTGGATTTGATTACGACCAAGTACCTGACACGTTCCCAGTAGATTCTATTTTACCATAAATAGATGATATAAATTGATCACTAATATCATCTATGTATTGTAAAATAGAGACGATTACTGGGGACGAGTCAGTATGAGCACGACTACGTACCGCTACGGGAACGCACCTAGAAAGGTCTGGGTTTTAGAATCACTTCATTCGAGTTGTCAAACGAGTTGTCAGAGCGCTTTAGATTTGACTACGAAAACGAGTACAGGGTATGATAAATTGCGTACTCATGCATGCACCGGAGCTACGCCAAGGTCCGGTACATCTGTTTTCTGAGCCACGTACCACGTATAGTCCGTATTCCCAAGCCGATTATCGTTCAGTTTCGTTGGACACCTTCGGAGACTACGCCAAAAACTCAGAATATATAAATTTTTACTCACCTTTCACATTTCTGCTTGTTGGCACTGCTAGAAACCTGCAGTTTTTTAGAAATTTGCATTTGAATTTCAACAATTGGCACTCCTCGAAATTCGAAATCCGCCATTTTGTTTCCAAGGAACTTCATGTAAAATATGTTGAAGTAACTAGTCTCAGGCTCTTTCCAGGGGGGAGAACTACACGCGCAAGGACAATTGAGCGCGGTTTATTCACAATAAACTCGAAAACATCGGACAAAAATTGACGTTGACGGTTGGTATTTCACACGAACTGATTTAAACATATTAATACAACTAAAATACAACTTGAGGTGTCTCCCTTCAATTTAAAAATAGGAGGAAATCAAAAATTAGATCAAACTTTTTGAAGGAATATTACTTGACAGAAGTAAAAAGTTGTGCAACTTTTATAAAGCAACAGTCAAAGAATTTGAAATTGGTCACAAGAGCGACGTCATCGCTGTTGCTATGGCAACAATGACGATTCAAGATATTAAAAAAATATATTAAAATAAAAATATTATGTTTTAAAATTCTGAAGAGCCAAAAAAATTATTTCGAAAAACCATGTTTATAATTCTTTTAAATTTAGCTCAACAGATTTGTTTTTAAAATTGGTCAAATATTTTGTCGTACTACAAGAAAATGTTTCCTGAAATAAAAAATTCGGTTAACCATGCGTATTTTTTAGTGAAGTGTTATTTTTGATTTCTAGCAAATAACATCTCTTCAAAGAGTTGATCTAATTTGTGCATTTTCAACATTTCTATAAAATGTAGGGAGCTACTTTAAATATCATCATCCATATCCAAACCGAGCTCTTCCTCTTCTTCCATCTCTTTGTCTGACTGTTCGTCATCAATCGCTGCATTCATACACCCAGCACAAGTACATACATCTGTACATTGGATCATGGCTTTCTTGCACGAACAACGGTGAGTTTCGCAACCAGTCTTGCAACCACAATGGATGAATTCAAGTATCGAGTCCCGTGCCGGAGGACGGATCAACCACACGATCTTCAACTCTCCGTCGACTATCCGCCATCCATGACAACCAGGAGGGATATCCATTTCTGCGTCAAGACACTGGCGCCAAATAGCTGCTTGATAGTTTGCCCGACGTATGTGTTGCAGCAAGCTTTCACATGTTGGCGGTAGCATGTCATCAGAACACTTTCCCAATTTGAACAATGCAAACCTACATTTGTTGACATTCTCGGATGTTTTGTCGCCATACATCAAGCAAACAAACCTTATTCAGCTGTGCAACGAGATCATCCGAAGGAGAAAAATACTCCCATGCAAGTGATACGAATGCAACCACGTATCCACGATTGCGGTCGAGCGTGTCCCACGTCGTTTTCTTACCTTTCCGATAAAAGGAACTGGTGCTGTCACAACCTAAAAAATATATTATGCAATGTTATTATAAGAAACTGATATATAAGAAACTACAGCCGTATATGCGCGATCCTACAAGTCAGTGGCGGAAATCGGGGGGGGGGGGGGGGGCCCCCCCCCCCCCCCCCCACCTTCACGGAAAATTGACGAATTTTTTTTACCTAAAAGAGGGCTAAAAACACTCTTTTCGAGTGCAAGTGGGGGGTACGTCAGAAATTTGAAAGTTTTGACGCAAATTTAGGAGGCTTTGCTCCCCCCCCAAACGAATAAAGTGAATTTCCGCCACTGCTACAAGTAACTGAACAGGCTAATAAAAAAGTCAGTTCCTTGTATACCTACTCACGCAAACACTGAGAAAGGTTTTCGTCCATCGCCTCCACGATAGTCTTGATGGATATCAACCGAAAATGATTTCCCGTTCCCGTCATAACAATACTGATTGAGGTTTTAATTGCACGCTAATGAAGCGTGAGATTGTCCCCATGGGCACTAAATATTAGAATATTCACAACTGATCTTTATGGGCATTTACATCGATTACAGCTGCTCATATTTTAATTAGTACTTATTAACACCAATTAACAATTGGTGGAAATATAAAAGAACAGGAGAGAAAAAAATCTTTGTTCCTAATACGATTACTACGCTTCCAACGCACAATGATTACTAATACCACCAATGCGCGGCCAATCTCTTATTACATACTCGCCCGGCCCCCTTTTGGTCACATGATGTGCCGACGTAACGAGGCTTGGTTCACTAGCTGTTAACCTTTGTTATTGCATAACCTCATGAAACCTGTATAGTGGTTAAAAACTTGTATAATGTTAATTATATACCTGTATAGTGGGCTTATATTCAGGGGGGCTTATATTCGGGGTTATATTGGGAATGGTGTGAACCTTAGTAATGTGATGATGGGCTTATAGACAGGGTGCTTATATTCGGGGGGAGGGCTTATATTTGGAATGATGTGAACGTTAGTAATGTGATGGGCTTATATTCGGGGGTTATATTTGGTGGGGGGACTTATATTCGGGGGGGGGGATTATATTCGGGGGACTTATAATCGGAGGTTTACGATCTACTTAAATTACCGGCCATATGAAGGTTGAAAGTTATAAATTAGCAGAAACTGACATGTTGAATTAGCAGAATTGACAATACACGGACGAAATAAAAGCAAAAAAGAATTGACTTACCAAATCGGTGTAATTCTTCTTGCAAACTATACAGACAGGAGGTAACACGTGCTCGTTCCTTGATCTAGTAGCACTAGTGGACGCCGCTAAACTTGATCGGAAAACTTTCTTCGGGATAGGATCACTACTGCCTTGGTCAACCGATGCCGATGGGATTTGATCTCTTTTTCAGCTTTTTTGCGCCTTGCTTCAGCATGATTTAATTGGGTTTTATTGGTAAATTCTGCATGAATAGCATTTGCGATGAAACGCCAACTCTTTAAAATTTTCATAGCGATCTTCTTCCTCGATGCTTATAATTTGAGTTGTACGTAATGCTATGTCTTTCTGACGGCCGTCAAGTTGTATCCATTGCTTCCGGCATTCCAGAAATCTTTCGAATGAAACCTCTGTAAAATTTGTAAGTGGCCCGACACTGTCTTCGCAATAAATTAAACATGTATTTCCCAATTCTGCCATGTTCAGTCGGCCATGACAAAACCCTCTTTGTTAAGAGGAGATTTTTTTGTATGTTACGTAACACGCGCTCAAAATTAATGCGTACAATATACCACATGAGGTTATGACTAAATTTAGTGCTTTATCTGTAACATAATGCTAAAATGAAGAGACTTTAGATGATACGCCGAAGAGAAAATTATGTCTGAAGTTCAGTAAGTTTTGCAGTTATATGGCTGTATATATGGCGTCAATTTTAAAGCATCATTGATAATTGTATTTTACTTGACAATTTTCAACCGGCAGACGCATTTAAAAAGGTAGCTAACTCTATAAACTAGAGAATAAAGCTAAAACAAAGTAATTTTGAGAGGAACGCCAAAAAGATTTTAGGTTTTGAACACTTTTCATTGGAAATACGTGACATTGAAAAAAATTGCCTCTTAATATTATTACATAAAGTTTCCAATAGTGAGCACCTTTTCAATGCATCTTACATCAACTTTCCAGGGAAACAAAATGGCGGGTTTCGAATTTCGAGGAGCGCCAATTGTTGAAATTCAAACGCAAATTTATGAAAAACTGCAGGTTTATAGAAGTGCCAACAAGCAGAATTTTGAAAGGTGCGTAAGAATCTATATATTCTGTGATTTTGACGTACTCTCCGAATGTGTTCAACGAAAATTGTTTTCTAAGCGACTTTTTGGCCTTGGGAATACGGACTAGTAGCAGACTGCGAGCAGAAGGAAAGGAGGGACTGCAGACGACACATCAAGAAACGAAGTACGCCCACTTTTCGCACCGCGCCTTAGCTCCAATATAATTAATATGACATAATTTGATGCTTGACTTTCAAATTTGAAAAACAATACATTTAAGTTAATTAACTTTTTCAATATTCAAAAAATAATCTGTCAATATTAACTATATCAACGAATCGGAATTTTGCGTTTTGTCGACAAAGCGTATTCTGCCGACCTTCCTTTTCTTCTAAGGAGGGACTACTCGCAGTCTAATTACGTGGGTACGCGGAATTCTTGCCACCAGCGTACTTAACGTTTTGCTTGTACCATACATTTGACCTTTTCATGACCAAGTTCAGCCGGTCAAACGAGAATGAGAGTTGGTGCGAGTGGGCAGTCTCGAATTGTTACGGGGGACATTTCATGCTCCAGATTAACAACATTAATGTTTGATAAGTGTTCCAACTACGTTGATAGTGTTGGAAAACATTAAGAGCAGTTAGTAAAGGTCACATGACTGCTAACTCTCGTGCACTCTCGTCCTCATTTCATCTGGGCTTGTTCAAAACCATAATTCAGTCGGAATAGAGCGTATGCATGCACTCATTCCCGAGGGACCAACTCGACAGAAGCCATGACGACCATGTTGGTTTCCAGACAAAAGTGTCTAATTCAAATTATTTTGAATTGGAACAGCAACATGGCGGTTGTGGCGTCATGCATGTGCAAACGCTCCACATGTGGACGTCTGACATGACTTGGCATTAAACATGATTGGATTGATGGGATGAAATGCGACTAAGGAATGTTGGAGTCAATTACAGTTGGTCTAAATACTCATAGTTTCAGGTTACTGAATGAATACCTTTCGGATCGGAAACCCGTACATTACGTATTTCGTCTTAAAAACTAAGTAAATCTTGAGTCTTAACTTTGTGTCAGGTACAACTAAAATTTCGGACATTCTTATAGGTTGCATCATTGCTTTCCGTTAAGAAAAGTGGAATATAAAAGAATGATACCTTTTCAAGCGCAATATTTTGAAACGTTGACTTTCAGTATTCTGTTTCTCGTGAAGATTAGCAACCACCATCACACCAACTCATGCCTGGTAATTCTTCTTTGACATTCAGAATTTTAACAATAATTCCATCTTTTAAAATCCTCATTAATTCCATTTGGCGATCTGCTCTTGTTACAATTTTGTTCATCCTAATAAGAGAATAATAATATTTTGTAAGATGTTCTATGCACGGGCGTAGCCAGCGTCCAATGGCATGGTCCCACAAATATATTTCTCTTTTTAGGGTCTGTAAAATGCTATTTCATGCATTCTATCATCTGAAAGTCACAGATTTGGTATATTTTATGTCCTAGATGCAAACACTAAGAGGCTACGCCAGCGCCACCAGTTTCTCCTCAGTTTTAATAGAGTTACAAGATTGGTCCTATAAAGAAAAGTGTGAGGTCTGGCTCCCCTATTTTGATTGATTGATTGATTGACATCTTTATTTAAAACACGAGGTCCATTTCACAGGTTATGTTATGTGCTCTTCAATGGAGACGTGTACCTATACTAGTTGACTAATTACTAATAAAAAAGAATCAAACTATTTACAAAGGTAACAAACTACACATGCAAAGAAACTAATATAAAAAGAAATATTAAGATATTTTAGATTTAAACTCAACGAGAGATTGAACTCTAGTGAGTTCGACGGGTATGTCATTCCAGAGGGTAGCTCCTCTGTAGGAAAAACTTTTCTTCAAGGATTCCGTTAAGGGTCTTGGTACAAAAAGTTTATGATTAGATCCACGCAAACTATGTTCGTGTATCATTGACGTGGAAGTAAATTTTCCAGACAAATAACTAGGAACCATATTATTAACAGTTTTGTACATAAAAGTTTTGAACTGTTGGGTACGTCTGGTTTCAAGGTTGGTCCAATTCAATGATGTTAAAATATCTGATGACCGGATGTTATAATCAGATTCAGTAATAATTCTTGCGGCCCTATTCTGTAATCGCTGTAACCTTTGTCCAAGACCCTTACCTAGGCTATCCCAGACAATACTACAATAATCAAAGTAAGGCTGTGCTAAAGAGTTATAGATCATGACAAGAGTTGACTGTGGGAGCAATGGTTTTAGTCTTCGTAGAACTCCAATCACCTTGGAGACTTTGGATATTATAGTAGAAACATGATGCTCCCATGTCAAACTCTCGTCCAGTTTTAAACCTAAACACTTATAAGATCTAACTCTTTCAATTTTGTTTCCGGCGATAGCAATATTAGGTTCTTCAGGAATAGTACTTAATTTTTGTCTAGATGCCATAAACATACATTTAGTTTTAATCGCATTCAGGCTTAGTTTATTCTGGTTTAGCCAGTTTTGGAGAGTTTTAAGGTCGTCATTTAGAACAGAAATCAACTTGTCAGGGTTGCTGTCCGCAAAAGTCAAGTTGGTATCATCAGCGAATAAACGCCCATCTGATACCAATTCACTATTAGGTAGGTCGTTTATGTATATTAAAAACAGTAGTGGACCTAAGATAGACCCCTGAGGAACTCCACATGTTACTTTACGAGTATCAGATCGTATGTTGTTAATAACTGTTATTTGAGTACGATCAGAAAGATAGTTTCTAAAAAGATCAATCGCTTCTTTGTTGAAACCGTAACAAGTTAACTTCTGTAGTAAAATGTTATGATCAATGGTATCAAAAGCCTTTTTTAAATCAATGAATAAGACAGCATTTATTAACCCACTGTCCATGTTAGTGTACCATTTATCAGTGACATCAAGCATAGCTGTTAACGTTGAGTGAAGAGGTCTAAATCCTGACTGTATGTCAGATAAAAGGTTGTTTTTGTTTAAAAAGGTATATGCTTGGTCAAAGACAACTTTTTCAAAAATTTTTGAAACTACAGGAAGGACTGAAATAGGCCTATAATTATTCAAATCTAGTTTTGAATCATGTTTATAAATTGCTGATACCCTGGCACACTTCCAGTCAGCGGGAATAATTCCCTTGCGAATTACTAGATTAATAATGTGAGTAAGTGAAACCACAGTAGTGAAATTAATTAGTTTTAATAAACGAACAGGAATGCTATCAAGACCGCTAGCCTTAGAAGTCGATAATTTATAAATTAGTCCATCTATTTGAGATGGAGTAACTTCATGTAATTCAAAAACTTCATTACATTGCGGAATGTTAGAAGAGGCCGCACCAGTTGTTGGAATTTGTGCTGCTAATTTAGGTCCGATTTCAGTGAAGTGCTTATTAAAAACATTGCTAATAGTTACTGGGTCAATAATTTCGATTTCATCTTGCAAGATTTTTGGTATAGTAGTTGAATTTTTAGATTTAGAAAGAAGACTGTTGATACCATTCCAAGTTTCTTTAGTTCGACCTACGTTGAGTTGAAACAAAGAATTATAATATTGCTTTTTACTATCTCTAATTTTATAGTTAACTAGATTTTTAGCTGTTTTAAAATTGACCCAATCATTTTCATCATTAGTATAAACTGCTTCACGCTTCAATCGATCTCGTTCCCATATTAATTTCTTGATATCTACAGAGAGCCATGGGGCACAGTTTTTCCTTATTCTTCTTTGTTTGACTGGAGCATGCTTATCAGCAACATCAAGAAATAGTTTTTTCCAAATTTGCCAAGCATTTATGGGATCATCTAAGGAAACTATGTACTGCCAAGGAATAGCATCAATGTCATGCTTGAATGAAGTTTCATCAAAATTTTTATAACTGCGGGATTTAATACTTATAGGCTTAGATTTAACACTGGAGTGTTTTCTGATAGCATAAATTAAATTATGGTCGCTGATACCTAGAACTATAACGCCCGCAGAAGTAAAGTTGTTCGGTTCATTAGTAAGAAAGAGATCGATTAACGTGGATGAGCTATTTGTAACTCCTTAATAAGTTGAGTATATTGATATGACTCACTTAGTTCGAGTAAATGTTTAGTATTATTATCTGCAATAGATGCACTCATGTTGCAATTTAAATCACCAATGATATTATTTTCAATACCAAGGAACTCGATTTTATCTAAAATTACCTGAAGTTTGTCAAAGAGATCCTTGCAAGAATTAGGAGGTCTGTACCACGTTGATATTAGAAATGGTTTAACTTTAGGTTTACTGATCTCAATGCACAGAAACTCAAGGGCTTCATCATGAAGATCATTTCTGAGATTAAAATTAATTGAATTTCGGATATACATAGCTACACCGCCTCCGTGTCGTGTTCGATCGTTCCTAACTAAAGTATATTTATCAATTAATATTTCAGAATTACTAATAGTTTCATCAAGACGAGTTTCGTTTAAGACCAGTATATCTAAATATTGATGTTGCATGTTTAATCTTAATTCATCGATATGCTTGGGTAAACTTGCAATGTTTAGAAAAGCAATTTTGAAGCCTCTGTGTTTAGGTAAGTTGAAATCAGTTTGTTTGTGCGTATTAGAATCGCTTTTATCAACATTAGAAAAGGTTTGGTTAGACATACCCGTCGCTACTAATCAATGATTAATAATATAAGAAGAGATTGATTTAGCAATAATGGCAGTGCGCTTCTGGTTCCTTGTTTTCTAAAGAGCTTAAATGTACATGTACTAGGGAGTTTAAGCTTCGCGTTAGCGGGAACGGCAAACGCCATAACCGAATTTTGTTGGCAAAATTTTTGTTTAACTTCTTCGCTTCATCTTCTCGTTCTTATCTCAAAAGAATCATCATACATTAAAGTCTTAAAATAGTAAGTTGATTTCCCATTTATTACATTGTAGCCTAATTTTTTTATTCCCCTGGGACCGGTTGTTCAAAGCTGGGTTAGCTAACCCTTTAGGTTAATTAAGCTAAAATTCAAAGCAAACTTCCTCATGACCAACCTCGTCCCCAGGGCCTATTGAGGAAAGAGGCGAAGCAGCAAAGGCCCTGGTAAAGGCTGGTCACGTGATGCTTCAAATTTTGAATATTTCAGAAATTTAACTTTTCAAACCGGGGGTGCGGGCCGCTTTGATTTTATCAAACATGGCCGTGCAAAGGGGCGATAGAATTAACCTTTTGCGACTGAAACCAGAGACTGAAACTATGATGATAAACTTTTCAACTGACAGTGGAAATACTGTAAATATATAGTCTGCGATGTTCTTCAAGAAAATATGGAATATAATTAACAGCAATACTTGTGGAAGATCAAGATTCAAAGAGAAGAGTCTAAACACTGACTGACAACAGTAAATATTTCTTTTCAGCTTGGAAGCGTGTTTTATAATATTTGTCGTTTGGGAGTCAATAACATACTGTCACTACTGTCAGTGAAGAATTTGATTTGGGACTTTGATGTACCTTTATGAAAAGATTACTACTGAATACAAATGTGCATGTAAAATGTGATTAGAACGTTTTAATATGAACAGTTGCACTGTCATTGACTCAATATATTTTAATGTGGGACAAACATTAAAAAACATTAAAGTACTGTGCCAAGTGACAAAATTCCATGCCGACCATGGGTTACGTATGTATGCATTTTTATTAAACGTTTATACCAATATACACTATTTTAAACCTTTGTGTGTGAATTTTGTGTGTTGATTTTATGATATTTGACAACCATGAATATTAATAATATTAACAGCAAGTTTACAGTATATCCTATAATACAAAAGCAATATCACTGATATTATCACAAGACTCAAGTACTGTACATGGTCTAATAGATGTTTCTTAGTCAGCAACTATGCTCTTTGACATTGTGGCAAGCATTATATTGTGGTTAGCTTGGTTTTTCACTTTTTTGATACAACTATAGAATACCCACAACTTTCACACCTTACCGCTATTAATTCCTTGTAAACCAAACTAACATACTCATATGATTTAATCTCTAAACTTTACCTTAAACTATTTTGAAGTGATTCTTGTACTTATTTATGTGTCAATGAATGCGGAAAAATGGCGAGGTATTCTATAAGCATTCCGGCATGTGTGTTTTTGAACCTTCACTGTTGAGAGAGCATGCCACGGGTCTCCCCAAATTATCTGAGCACTTCAACCAGACCAACAGCTGCCAAATGGCAACTATGCTCAGAGGTGTAACTTAACACTTGCCCGGGGCAAGTGAATATCATGATGGGCAAGTAAAAGTTTCCTCTTGGTTGCCCGAACGGGCAAGTTGCGTTGCCACAAAAAGCTGGCCAGCTTTCAGTTCATATTATTATTGTCGGATAGAATAAAGGCTGTTCGACGATATTGGTTCAAGCTGGCAAATCATCTGCATCAAATTCATCTAAATTGTTTGGTTATATTATGCATTTGATTCTCTTTTTGGTTATTAAATGTTTATTCATGATATGATAACCGAACGAAATATGGCAGGACTTCATTTATGGCAGGACTTAATTTGGGACTTTATTAGTCCTGTTGTCTGTGCCTTCAATTTCTTATTGTAAAACTAATAAAAAAATAAATAATGGTGATTAGTGTTACATTAAACAAGTGTACTTGATTCAAATTTTCTTTAATATGTGAGCCAAAGCTAGATCTGAGGTAGTTTAGATCTGAGGCAGTAACATATAGCCAATGCCACTAGTCCAATGAGTGGATATGTTGTCTCTCTAATTTATACTGGCCCGCGTAGGTACCCCATGGCCTGATGGCAAGTGGTTTTTATTCAGGGCAACCAATTTTCATGTCCAACTTGCCCTGAGGGCAAGTGGTCAAAAAAATTAAGTTGCACCACTGATGCTGTATACAAATTATATACCTGAAAGGTAACTTACATCATATTGTGTCATTTAAATACTAATACTTGTATTCTCACAGTGTATTAAGATATACAAATGCACTTGTGATGCCCAAAGAATTGCCACAAAAAACCCCATAAACCACAAATCAGTCAATTTCAGTAAGTAGGGCACACTGGGGCACATTGCAGCTCAATGGGTTAACTAGAGACATTGTCAGATTTTGGTTAATAACCATAATTAATTGTCATTTAATATGACAATTACGTTATATGAGTGTGATTTGTGTTATTTGGTACAAGATTTTTACAGTCTTTCAAAATTATTCGGGGGGGCTCGTCCCCCCCCCCCTCGCCCCCTCCCCTAGTGTCCGCCACTGCTTCTCTTCATTAAATATTACATAATATGAAGTTGCAAGCTAACTGTAATAACCTTGTAGGGTTAGACGAGACAGTTCAGTAAAACGCAATTATTTTTAAGTATTTACAATTTTACATATGAGATATCAGTACTTGCTCCGGGAGGCTACAGAAAGATCACACGTTGTACTTCTTCTTATTAAATGTCTTCCTTTCAATCACAAATTTTGATGAACAGCATACTATGCATTAGGTTTTTAGATAACCAAGAAACAAGATTTCATTAAACATGTAAAAAAGTGGGGGGAGGGGATAATTAGATATTCGTCCCCCCACTCCAAAAACTGGGGGGACGCGTCCCACCCCCCCAGGATTGACGCCCATGTTTGGAAATATTTCTTCAAATGTCTTGTCTGGATCAGAGTTTACTTCTCTGAAGTTTTGAAATAAACAGACGTGCAGAAATACACAAACGAAGACAGCAGGTTAAATTTTTACAAAGGGTTAGCGCTAACCCACCATTGAACAACCGACCCCTGGAGTTCACCATTTGATGTTTGAACACGAAGCTTAAACTCCCTACTAACTCTATAATACCCTTACAAACAGCAAACTTTTGGAAAAAATTCGGTGTCAGACACAGGACCGCTCCTAGACGCGATAATTGGGGGGGGGGGGCGGTATATTCATATATTCATGTTCACAAACCGTAAAAACAATCGCTTTCAAAAGAAATCCGTCGGGCAGAATACGAATATATGAATATACCCCCCCCCCCAATTATCGCGCTAGAAACGGCCCTGGTCAGATATTATTAACAAGCTTATAGCGTCATGAAGTAAACGTTTTCACGTTGTTCGAAAGATGAGAAAATTTCAGTGTAATGTACTAATGTTGTGTTCAGAATGACAACGTTGTTAAGCATAACTCTTGATTCACAAATTATTCATACTTGCATGAAAAATCATACATGAAAAATGTGTTTGACAAAGTTTCAAAGGCAAGTTTTTGAGGTCGACACGTGTTTTTTAAATCTGGCTAATAATTGACTTTAGCAAATGTCACAAAAATAGCACACGTTTCGACAGAAGCAGGCATCCAGCGATTTTCGCCGTCTTTAACGTAGACAATCGCCAGTTATTTCCCGAAATTAAAAACTTAAATATTTCTTCGTTACTATACTAGAAATGTCGAAATCACGTGAAGACACCCTGAGACTCCACCTCCTCGGTACACATAGCTCCATATGTACCACATGGCCCCCTATGTATCACATAGTCCCTTATGTATCACATAGCCCCCTATGTACTGCATAGTCCCCTATGTACCACATAGCCCACTATGTACCACATAGCCCCCTATGTACCACATAGCCCCCTACGTACCACATAGCTCCCTATGTACAACATAGCCCCCTATGTACCTAATTTTGTAACCGTAACTAATTACTTTCGAAAAGAGGTAAATAAATTAATCGGGAATTAATTACCTTGGATATGAGCATGTTTATACACTGCCCTCTAACATGCCATAAATTGTGTATCCCTACATACATGGCCCATGTTCGAAGGGTAGAATTGTTCAGATTTGGTTGAAATCTATTTGCATGATTGCTCCCATAGAAAGACATTGCAAACACATTTCATGCTTGCCACTTGAATATGAAGCACACATTTTAGACGATAGAATTTCCAAAAAAGTTGCCAAGACATACTAACTTAACCCATTAGTTACACCTTGCCCTAATGCACCCTACTGCATTATTTTACTTTGTCTAATGCCAGACAATTTTACTCGTCAAGGGAATTCAGCTTTCAAAACTCAAAATTTTTATATTCAGCTTTCAAAACTCAAAATATGATGCATTTTTGCAACCACATTTCGCTCACAACCTCGCAGGCACTAAACCATTCTCGTACCACAGCCCTTCTTACGCGCGGTGCGACGAGCGGCCCTGGCCAAATCCATATCAAACTGGTATCTGGTTGGCTACAACGAAGGTTATTTTTCTAATACCGGATATATTCTTTTACCATGTTTTTATGGTATCCGGTTTTAGATTTGGCCAGAGCCCCTCGTCGCACCGCGCGTAAGAAGGGCTCTGGGTACGAGAATGGCACTAAACTGATTAAACGATTGAGCACCAGCATGCTCTCACTTAACGACTAAAACTGTCATTAGAAAGAATGAGTGAATCTTGTTAGTAACAGGTTTATAACAGGTTTGTAGCGGGTCGTTTCAACAAGTCGTTACGGCTCTGTCGTCAACAGCTTGCTACAGACCTGTTCCCGCAAGCCTGTTACCGCCCGACGAAACCAACACACCTGTCGCGATTTGTTGACAACTTGCCGCAAGCGGGTAAAATCAACAACTTGCGACAAGCCTGTGAGATTTCTGACTGTGTACTAGACAACTTTGGATTTGATTACGACCAAGTACCTGACACGTTCCCAGTCGACTCTATTTTACCATAAATAGATGATATAAATTGATTACTAATATTATCTATGTATAGTAAAATAGAGACGATTACTGGGGACGAGTCAGTATCAGCACGACTACGTACCGCTACGGGAACGCACCGAGAAAAGTCTGGGTTTTAGAATCACTTCATTCCTGTTGTCAAACGAGTTGTCAGAGAGCTTTAGATTTGACTACGAAAACGAGTACAGAGTATGATAAATTGAGTACTCATGCATGCACCGGGGCTACGCCAAGGTCCGGTACATCTGTTTTCTGAGCCACGTACCACGTAGCAGACTGCGAGCAGAAGGAAAAGCTAGAGGGATCAGGCCTTAAAATATCGGTCGGTCACGGACATTGTCCGACCCATTCGTCAAATTGTCCGACGTAGCGAGGAAACCGCCGGACATTCTGTCCGACCTAAGTGAAACTGAAGTTTATTCTTTGTCCGACCCGAATGTATTGGTGTCCGACCGAACTGTAGCTTTGTCCGACGCTTTCTCCGCGAGCGTAAATCAAAATGTACCCTAGTCCAGGACTAGAGGCTCGTTTGTTATAAATGGAGAACCAGACAGAGTATTGTATAAAAATGAACTGGAAATGTTGTTTTTAATAATGTCATCGAGCGCGGGGCAGCGGCGAAATGGTGAAGTGAAAAACGGGTTTAAATTGTCGAAGTCTTATACTGCTATTATTGGCAAGTAAGTTAATCTTGACTTGGAAGTAAGTATGAATGACACAAATTATTTAATATCTTCATAACATTTAGTTCAGAATTAATACATTGTGCTGATATTAATTTGTGTCATTCAGACTTATTTCCGAGCCAAACTAAACTGAAGGTCATCGGACATCATCATACATATGTCCGACCCAAAGTAAAAGTCATCGGACATTTTGTCAGACGGCACTGTAAAAGATATTTTAAGGCCTGAGGGATTGCAGACAACACATCAAGAAACGAAATACGCCCAGTTTTCGCACCGCGCCTTAGCTCCAATATAATTATTTTGGCATTGCTCGTATCGCAATTGTTTTAAAACGACGACGTTTACATTTTACAAGCAAAAATACATATAGCCTCCTATTCAACATTCTGGTGAGAATCCTGGTGTAAATAGCCGAGCGGAATTAATTCCTTCGCATTACAGACGCGCTATCCAGTGCTACCGTTAAGATCAGACAAGAGACGAATGTAAACAACAATATGGCTGCCAACAGAACAGCGAAGAAAGGTGACTGGCACACGATAAATATGCCGGTGAAAAACAAAATAGTGCCGTTAAATGTCGGCTTTACTGACGAAAAAATGAAAAAAATAAAACTTGGTTTTATTCCGGAGGAAATGGAGGAGAAATGGTTTATATATTACGACGAGGAAGACGAAAGCTTGTATCTACATCGCAGTTGGACTGGTTTCTGTGTTTTTATTGTGAAATTTAAGAAAATTGATAGTGGCTACGCCGCTGTATCTGCCCTGGTATTAATCAAAGATGTCAAATTCTACATAATGTAATGTCATTGCATGTTTTTATATCTTTAGTGACTAAGTATTGTGCTGAACAGCGACTAAATACAGTGTTCTAAATGCTCAAAGGTAAGTTTGCATATTGTAGTTTATTGAGCGAAATCTACGTTGCATTGATTGTATTTGAAAAATGCCATATGTCATGATTGTCATCTGATATACTGATGACACTTCTGACAAAATTCTTCATTAATTAACATTCACCAAAGCCTGAATTCACTCCTGCAAAATCACAATATAGGTAAACGTGGCTAGAATCAGTTCGTGTTTGGTGTAATACTGTGTTGACCAAGGAGAGACCAAGCTTCCAGAGGGGAGCCTACATCACCATATTCACCAAGCAGTGTGGCTCCGATAACACTAAGACACACTCGTTTCTCGTTTTCCATATCGCCAGAACACTTGTACTGCTCTGCTTCGTCGTTTCAACTATGGATATGGATAATCGCATTCGACAAATCGCTCTAGATTTACAAGAAGAAAGTTTGTTAGCGAAACTTAGTGCAGGTGATATGGTTGCACTGGAGGCCAAATACCATAAATCATGTTTAACATCAATTTGTAATCGTGCGCGGTCACGCAGATCACGCGAATTAAGGGCGAACGAAAAAGATTCCAATGTCGTACATGGAATAGTCTTGGCAGAACTGGTTTCATACATAGAAGATACTCGAGAAGAAACCAATTCTTTGTCAGTTTTCAAGCTGAGCGATTTGTCAAAAATGTATGAATCGCGTTTAGAACAATTGGGAATTGAATCAACCAGCGAAATACACTCGACAAGATTGAAGAACAGAATTATTGCCAGAATTCCAAGTATACACGCTTATCAAGAAGGGCGTGAGATTCTTCTCGCCTTCGATTCCGACATAGGCACAGCACTTAAAAGATCACAACGTGACGATAGCGACGATAAAGCATCTTGTCTTGCAAAAGCAGCTAACATAGTTAGGAAAGATATGTTGGAAAAGAAGACGTCATTTACTGGGACATTCGAGAAGAACTGCCAGAAAGACTCCATTCCCCAATGTCTTTACTCGTTGGTAAATATGATTTTGCATGGACCAAATATCCGCAAGCAAGCTGAAAACAGATCAACCCAGGCTACACTTACTGTTTCTCAGCTACTTCAATTTAACAGTTATTTTTCAAATCGAAGTGGATGTTCCCATCACGATCATCACAATAGATGTCGTGAAACACCTCTTCCTATCTACCTGGGACTTTCTATTCACGCCCGGACACGTAAACGCGACTTAGTGGACAATTTCTTTAAGCTTGGTCTTTCGGTATCGTACGACCGAGTTCTTAGTATATCTACTGATATCGGGAATACTATTTGTCGAAAATTCCAAGACGAAAACTTAGTGTGTCCTGCTAAGCTGCGGAAAGGCATTTTCACCACCTCTGCAGTAGATAACATTGACCACAACCCCAGTTCAAACACTGCTAAAGGGTCTTTTCATGGAACCGGGATATCTTTATTTCAGAACGTATCGCGGGAATATCCTGGGATAGAACAAGAACAAATATCTCTGGAGCACCGTAGTAAACTTGATACGAAGAAAGTCTGCGAACTGCCTGATTGGTATACAGATGTTCCTCCTTGTATTCTGAGAGATGCGAATGCACATACAACAAACAATGTTACGCTAAGAACTGACGAGGATTATCTATCTATTGCTCTTCAAAATGAAATTGAGTGGCTGCAGCAAGTAAAACGGGGCGTGGAGGAAGAGACGCTTCCAGAAGGTGAAATGGTATCATGGTCTGGTTACCATGCAAGTAAGCAGCAACAGCGAAATTTGAAACCAGCAGTTTCATCATTACTGCCATTATTTCAAGATGAATCTAAATCAGTTGCCATGATTCCTTGATGAATATCATCAAGAAAACAACGGAACATCTAAATCCTGGCCAGGTTCCTGTGATAGCTGTTGATCAACCATTGTTTGCCGTGGCAAAGCAAATACAATGGAACTGGCCGCAAACCCACGGTGAGCAAAACTTTGTCATTCTACTTGGTGGCCTACACATCGAGATGGTAGCCTTGAAAATGCTCGGTGATTGGTTGGAAGACAGTGGCTGGACAAGTGCGCTGGTAGAGGCAGGGATTGCGAACCCGGGAGTGGCAAATTCATTCGTCAAGGCCTCGAATGTCAAGCGTGCAAGGCGTGCTCATCAGCTAACAGCAAGTGCGTTGTATGCATTGCTCAACAAAGCATATGCCGAGAGAGAAGAAGAAATGGCATTGGAACATACTCCATCCTTCGACAAATGGTGCGAAGAAAGGATGTCAAGTTCACCGCACTTTCAGTTCTGGCATATTGCATTACAACTGGAATTACTTTACTTGGTATTTGTGCGCTCATTTCGAGAATCAGATTTCGAGTTGTATCTAGATGCAATTCAGAAATTAGCAGCTTGGTGTTTTGCTTTAGATCACACAAATTACGCCAGATGGCTTCCAATCCACTTGCAGGACATGCTGTCCCTTGAATAAAAATATCCATATGTATATCATCAGTTCCTGAACAATGGATTCGTTGTTCAGAAGACGTCAAGAAGGTTCTCATCAATAGCTGTTGATCAAGCCCACGAGCAAAACAATGCTTTGGTTAAAGGAGATGGGGGAGCTATCGGGCTCACGGAGAACCCTGGTGCACTTCGTCGGTGGATGATTTCAGGACCTGAAATTGCGAGAATGATTACAGAGTTTGAAGATGATACAGCGCTTATCACAGACGAGAAGACAGATCAAGCAAAGCACCACGAAGAGAGACACGGAGTTCAAATCTCGTTTGCTAAGGATGTCAAAGCATTAGTCCGTGTAATGGAAGATATGGGTAATCCATTCTTAGAGGAAAGTACCGATCTACTTGTTCTGGACACTAGGACTATAGCAGATGCCTCCGTGGTTGCAACCGTGCGTCAGATTGAAGCTGTTGGTAAAGATCAACTGGATACATATTTCAAGGAATGCTTGACCCAAGAAAAACGAAGCATATATGAGCCGATCAAGAAGAATAAATATAAGTTATTTAGCAGTCCACCTCCAAAGATCCCTTCAAAGGACAAGCAACAGATAGCAATGCTCAAGAGTGACTGTGCCCTCTTTTCCAGATTATACATTGCTTGTCAAACAAGAGACGGTGATTTGGACGAATTTTTCGAGCATGAAAATCAAGGTTGTCCACCATCACTGTCGCAACATGGAAATCTGCGTTTGCCAGGAAACAAGTCAGATCTGCTGCAATGCATAGAAGCAGTCATTCCTGCTGTCGCTGATTCTCCAAACTCTATAGATGTCACTATTATAGACGGCGCCGCTGCAATTAACATGCTTAAACCCACGCCCGCAGTGAAAACCTTCCACGATTATGCTGAACATGTGTTTATTCCTTACATCAAAGGACAGTTACAGCACGCAAAGAGAGTTGATGTAGTATGGGATGAGTATACACCAAATAGCCTAAAAGAAACAACGAGGAAAAAACGTGGAACAGGCATCCGCAGAAGAGTCCAGTCATCAACAAAGCTGCCAAGCAAATGGCATGAATTTCTCCGAGTGAATGAAAATAAGACGGAACTATTTGCATTTTTAACAAACCACATCCTTTCCGCTGATTTTGGAAGTAACAAGCAGGTTATCAGTACCCTCGGTCAACAAGTTCTCTGCAATCCGCCTCGTGATAACACAAACAGCCTCGCTCCTTGTAACCACGAAGAAGCAGATACAAGAATGATGGTTCACGTCGCAGACGCCGTTCAAAGAGGATTAACAAAAATACTTTTACGAACGGTAGATACAGATGTTGTCGTAATTGCGATCGCAGTCTCACACACATTGAGTACTTCCGAGTTGTGGATAGCTTTTGGCGTGGGGAAAAACCTAAGATTCCTACCTGTTCATGAAATTGCCTCGAGTTTGGGTCCCGAAAAATCAAAAGCTCTGCCGATGTTTCATGCAGTTACAGGCTGTGATACAGTTTCATCTTTTTCTGCTAAAGGCAAGAAAACAGCATGGAAGACGTGGCTCTCATATCACGAGGTTACATCTGCTTTTCACCTCCTGTCTGACCGACCAGAAAGTGTAACGGATGAGTGCATGGACATCCTCGAGCGATTCACCGTCCTTCTTTACGACCGAACATGTCCGAAAATGAAAGTCAACGAGGCACGTAAGATGTTGTTCGCAGAGAAAGGAAGGTCTCTTGAGTTGATCCCTCCTACCCGAGCAGCCTTGGTTCAACATGTGAAAAGAGCCGTCTATCAAGGAGGATATTGCTGGGGACAAGCTACGACTCCTATGGCTCTTTTGCCTTCCCCCAGTGAGTGGGGCTGGTTGCAAACCGCAGGCGGTTGGAAACCATTTTGGAGCACTCTTTCTGATGTGTCAATGACGTGCAATGCCCTTGTACGCTGTGGTTGCAAGAAAGGGTGTCGAGGAAATTGCTCTTGTCGTAAAGCAGCTTTGCAATGTACTGCACTGTGTGCATGTGATGGCGAGTGCATAAAAGAATGACTGTTGTTGTTGTTACTGCATGCAATATAGGCTGTTATATATAAGTTAAATTGGCGATAAATTTACAAGAATCATTTCTAAAATGACTTTCAATTCCAGTGTTGATGGAAACACGTTTGTTATCACATCTTACGTTTAGATGTAGATAGTCGAGAATTGGATTTTTATGAATTTATTGATTTTCTATGAACTTATGGATACCCTATTATTAGATATAAAATGTTGTTAACATGTAACAGAAAAACATAGATTTGGCAAACCAGTAATTCAAAAGTATTAAATGGCCAATTCCGCCAAAACATTATAAATTCAAAATGGCCGCCGATTACAGTCTTCGTGCACAAAACACGTTGCAAGATCTCTCTATTGCAAATGGTCAAGCAGAGAACTGTATTTAAGTCATTTGCTACCTTGTCTACATATTTGTACAGTTAAATGATGTTATGAGTCTATTAAAAAAGAGAGAACAGCCTTTTACTGATTAAAAATGAGTTGATTTGACCATATTCTCACCATTGACATCGGCTAAATTGTAATAAATGAACTAGTTTCGTACATTAAAAACTACATAGGCTAAAATAAACATAAAAAGCTTAGCTGAGAACAGAAAAAATATTTTAGCCAATTTACAAATAAAAAATCAAGATATATATAGCACTTCCGGTTTTCTGCCTCGCTTTCACGGAAAATGGGCCGTTAACGGCTATAATTTGAATTTTTGGAGTTGCCTCCATATCTAGTTTTTTTCGCCTCATCAAGAACTATAACTGTGCCAAATTTGGTGCTTTCTTCACAAAGTGCATGATTTTTCGACATATCCGCCGGACTATTAGTCAACATTTAAACTGCGCATTAAAGGTAATTAAAGTATGTGCGGTTTAATGTTGGTTTTAACTCGCTTTAATATCCTCACTAAATGCAATTAAGTGTATCAGTTTCCAAAAGAGGTGTTTTATTCAGAGTAAATGCGATTAAATGTAACTTTTTATTTAACCACCTTTAGTCAGCTTATTAAAGGTGTAAACACATATTTAATATCTTTAGTATCTTTGCTAAAGCTGATTAATGACACGCTTTTCGTCCTATAATATGTTTTTTAAGCCCGTTAAAACATTCGCATCCGATCTTTATCTGATATACAAACTTTCGCCTTCGGCTCGAATTTGTATATCAGATAAAGATCGGCTGCTCATGTCTTAACTAGAACATAAAGATCAGTTGCGAACATTGTAACGAACTAGTAAAATTAATATATTTGTTTACTTTATTTGTTTACTTTTATTGTTTACTTTATTAGTATCCACTGCCCATAGGAACAATAATCTCACGCATTTACAGCGTAAATAATAAACTCTAATAAACTGTCCTGCTTCTGAATTAGTATTCATAACTTTCATCAACTGACTTTCTGAACTTTACCGCGATTAACAAGTATGCACATGTGACCCAAATACCCCATCGTGATATGTTTGTTGCCTAATTAATTATTCGTGAATTTTATAAGATAAAGTACATAAAACACAGTTTTGTAGACAGACTGAGAACAAAGAACCATAATATCTGCGAACCTCCGGTATGTAAAGCCCTCGGTCAAATAAGAATGAGAGTTGGCAGTTGCACATTGTTCCGGGGACATTGAACCATGTTTTAACTTGAAATAGAGTGCATGATAGTGTTTGGAAAGTATTAAGTCGCGTGACTGCCAACTCTCATGCAGTCTCAACATCGTTTGATCCAGGCTGAAGTATTCAAATTGTCGCCACCTCAAGGGTGGGCTGACTACAAAATTTTGGTAGTTCGCTATGATAACTACAGCTTCTTCAAAAATATGCAGTCAGCTACAACTACTCCTACTTTTGAACAAAGGTAGTTCGCCACTGACTACAGCTACTGCTTAAAAAATGTAGCGAACTATTTCGTTACGCTATATTTTTTAGATTTACTGTATTTGGAGTATCTACTAACTCAGGCTGTAATGTAACCTATAACAAATCGACTTACGAGTAGCAAAACGGTAAATACAAAGCAACATTTTTGTAAGCACTACAGTGTTCAGGAGTGCAAATTGAGTATTGAGTATTGATTTTAAGCAAACCGTGTCTCAATATCATGTTATTCTGTCAAATTGCTAACAATTTTAAAAAGTAGCGAATAGCGATTCGCTGTTTGAAAAGTAGTCAACTACTTGGCTACTTTTAGGCAAAATGTAGTTCGCTATAACTACAACTAAACTGTTTTAAAAAAGTAGTCAAAATTTACTGGCTACTTGAAAATTGTAGTTCGCTAGAGTAGCGAACTACAACTACTTCGCTGCTATACCATGCACCTTTGCGCAACCTGAATGATATCAATGATGGGAGCTTTAGCAGCTATACTACGAGTAAGAGATTTAATTGCGTGCGAGGAAGTCGTAGTCGTCTTCCTTTCTGTTTTATAGCTGTAAACAAACAACTAGAAAAAATTTCTATAAATTAAATCTCATGCAGGCTAAAATTCCTTGCAAGATAATCCCTTTCAATGAGAAACAATACACGAATTAAGTGCAAATAAGTCATGAATAATTAGAGTTAAAAACAAGCCAGATATTCAGCATTAATAGATTTATTTATTTGCCGCGGATAAACGCTTTCTTTTTGCAGAAAAAAAAACAAAAACAACTTTCTTTATTTTTTACAAGTCGTCGTGAGGACTATACGAGATTTCTCAAAAATTTCGTACTCAGATTGGAGAAGGCTACGACTTCGCGTTAGTACGGGATAGCGTGAGCATACAGCATGTGTTTCGCTTGACGAATCTCGTACTCGCTGCTAAAGCTCCCTGATGACGTGCTCACGGAGGCAACCTAACAAGTTGTTTTTAAAGTTTTGAATTTATTAACTTCGCCATTGATGATAAAACACTCCTATGCACTTACACAATACTTACAATGATTATTACAATAAATAACAATCACAGCGGTCACAATGAATAACTTGTTAGTTGCTATTAGTTGCCAATTACTGCTGACCCAATAATGAAAATCCGGTTACTATACTAATCAAATATTTCGCCACATTTGTATAGACGTCGATCTGCCCGCCATTACTCTGGAACAGAGTCCAACTTGAGGAAAAACGACAATTCCGAGAAAAGTAAGTGCTTTAGATCCAGAATTCGAAATACAGTATCAGGCTGGCCGCTGGTTTAAGAACATGCCATTGCTTTCTAATTCAGACATCAAACTATAAAGCCAGATTCTCATTTATCGTAAACATCGGCGATGCACATTGTCGATGGCGATTGATGCATAAAATGTTTGTACATGTTCTTCTTCTTTATTTTAATTTTCAAACTCAATGTTTACCAATAACAGGCACTGTAGTTTCAAGAAGATTTAAAACGTTTTGCGAAGCGTTTGTGGTTGAATTTTACATTAAATTGAAGTTTATATTACGTATAATCACAAACATCATACATATTTTTGGGAAATTGATCATTTTGTAATTAAAAGTAATATTTTGGGGGATTTTTCAATTTTAAAACTATTCTTAAAATTATCGTGTTATCATGACAATACTAAATATATTATAATGGTTTTGTCAGCAAGGCGAGGGTTTCTGCATGCCATGTATTTTCTAGTTATATAAAGTTTTGTGCTTTAAATAGTACTTCGAGAACTGGTAAAACTGATAATCTCACATGTAAGATTATTTATGATAATTTCGCATGTGAAATTATCGCTTTTCAATTATCGCTTCTCTGTAAAAATTATCGCTTTTCAAAGACTGTCCTTTACACAATAAACAGGAAAATACATGAACGCCTGGAAATACCAGATTTATTTCTCGTGTTGAACATAATATCTCACTCGTTCGCTGAGTGATATCATGTTCAACACTCCAAATAAATCTGGTATTTCCGCGCATCCGTGTATTATTCTCTATTTAAAACACGAGCAGCTAGAAATGCTTTATCGGATATAAAAAACAAGGCGACGGTCGAGTTTCTTAGATCTGATAAAGTAGGGACTGCGAGTGTTTTAAATGGTTTAATTTAAAAAAACAACCCAGTTAGCTCATACGAACACGCCCTCAGACAGAATCGGGTAGTTCTTTCAGTTCTAATGAGTTTAAAAATCACTTTTTAGTTCCGACCTTTTTTTCCAACTTTTTGTAGATTATATGTTTTCAACTCTAACTGTCTCTAAAGTCATGATCTGCTCCATTCTACTTTACAACGTGAGTAATTTGTTTACATATTTGAATACTCCCTTTCGATAATTACGTCACAACTACACTGTTTTTAACTTAGGACCACCTTAAATGGAAAGGATTTCAAGTTTTTTTTCTCATGGGCTATGCACAGAAAAGCAGAACATCCTTCTTCAACACATCCCAGGTCATATTTTCGTGTTAAAGCTTATTTCCACATTTATTGGTCAAAAAAATTCTTTTTCATGCATGTGTTGAAGAAGGATGTTCTGCTTCTCTGTGCATAGCCAAGAGAAAAAAACTTGAAGTCCTTTCCATTTAAGGTGCTCTTAAGTTGAAAACAGTGTAGTTTTGACGTAATTATCGAAAGGTGCATGTATTGGAAAAGTTTTAGGGGCCTGCTACACACGTAAAAATGTCAAGTTGTTACAGGTTTGCAAACAAGTTGTTGTAAAATAAAACAAACAGTATTTTGAAAGGCTTTATCAAAATCTTTGACGAATTTTGGACACACACGACGCTGAAAGAACAGCCAAACTAGTCATGTATTCGAAAGCTTGTTGTTGACAGCCAAGATGTTTTGCCAACTGGCTTCGCCGGCAAAAGTCTTATTTTTAATATCAGGTCCTACCGGCGTTGTTTTCTGAGCTACATCGCCTTCTTCGTGGTACGATTGAGAATTTAATTGTTGCTGTTGTTAGCCCGTTAGGGCCTGTTCATATGATCCCGCTTACCGGGACGTCTCGCTTACCGAGACGAATATTTCCGTGCGTTCATATGGAGTATTTCGTCCCGCTTGCCGAGATGAAATTACATTGTAGTTCTATAATTAGCGTATGCAAAACTTCTACATTTCAGTCAAGCAACACAAATACTTGGCGATTTCAGTGTTTTTCTTCGTTTATTTACAAGAAAAAGTATTGCTTCAGGTGGTTATTTAATACTTGTTTACAAAACAAACATAAAACCAAGTAAAAAGTGTTAAATTAAACCGGCAAGACTTGTTTCACTTCATCCCGGTAAGCGGGCTGGCGTGTTCATATGGAAAAATTTTCATCCCGCCTACCTGTGATCTCGGCAAATTCAAACGAGATCTCGGCAAGCGGGCCAGCTCGCTTTCTCATATGAACACAATGCAAAATTTTATAGGAAAATAGATAAGCGGCGAGATCATTGGTAAGCGAGACGTCCCGGTAAGCGGGATCATATGCACAGGCCCTTAGTCGTTTATAGAGTATATCCGCGTCCAGCAAGTTGAGACCTTGAGAAAGCTTGGCAGTCAAGCCGTGCACAGAACTGAATAATTAATATAAATCTTTGTTTGCTGTTCGGTTAAATAGAGAAACTGACTCTTAATTATATAAAAGTACCTTGAATTTTTAAGTTTAATGAAAAAGCAAAATGCACACTCTGCGGACATGTTCATGAGAATATAATTTTTTTGTGTAACGAAATCTACAACACTTGTCAATCATATTGCATGTGTGTCTAAAAATAACATGTGGGCGTCCCACGGTCTAGACAGGTTTTGTGTCAGGCCCTATTTCAAATTAGGGCCTGAACTTCAGGTTAGGTACAGTCATGTTATAACAAGAATGTTACAAGGTTGATTACACAAGGTTGTAACAATATTGTCATATCATGACTGTATTGGACTTGTTGGAACAATCCTGCAACAAGTACAAGATATCAACAAGGTTGTTACAAGTTGTTAACAGCTTGTTGCAAACTTGTTGACAACTTGTTACAAGATGTGAGATTTTTACGTGTGTATATGGAGAATTATTATGTAGCAAGTGTCGAAGTTTAATTTTCCTGTTGCGATTGGTCATAACTGTACCACATGCCGGTCCACAAAACGTCATGTTCACTGCATGCTTTGATGACGAGGCAACCGGTCAACATTAAAACAATTATTAAACGTCAATAATAAAACTGGAAGTGAGGCGCGAGCTGTTCGCGTCAACCAGCAGGTTGAAAGTTTTTTCAAGAGTTTCAACATGTCTTCTGGTTGGTTTTATTACAGTTTTGGATTCGCTGTCTAATAAAATACTTTTGAAAATTAATATACTATTTTTTTTTAAAATACTCGGTTTCGCCTCGGGAAACAACGGCGGTCTGACGGTCGGACGCAGCCGTTTTCCTCGGTCTCAGTAAATAAGTGATAATTATCAGCCCGGCTGGTGAAGTAATATGTGAATGAGTTTTAAATTCAAGCATACAAATTAGAGAAAAGCTTGAAAGCATGCATGATAAAAATACTGCAGGTCACGTAGTACCTCATGATCACGCATGATGTTCTCAACCTTGTTGAAATTATGACATCACTAAATCCAAAATAATTCCACCTTGAGCAATAATACAGCTGAGTATTTTAATCAAGAAACGTATACAACCATGTCACTATACCAGGGAATATGTAAATATTTTGGTTATTTTCAGGAAACATATCAATAATTGGACGTTGAAACAGTAGTTTTGTGTGACGCCAATTTCTTGATTACGAAAGTAAAAAATCTAAAACAAAGAACACAGGCACAGGCAAGCTTAAAAGACAATGAAACGATTTTGAATCTCAATATAGCTTGTTCAATGCGGCAAATATAGGAAAATGGAAGAAAAACGCAGTGAGCTGGACTATATTCTTTGCACTCGTGACATCACGATTTTGCAATAGGTCACTTCTGCTGGCGTCAGCCGTTTCTTATCCATTTTTTTAGCAATTTATGTTAAAAGTAAGCCAACTCTACATGCTCAGAATTTTAATATCACAATTCATGCAATAAACACTCAATGGTAGACCCAGGTTTTGTATTTCCACATTTTTTGGTTACGGCTCAAAATTTTTCCAACATTAACATTAAGAAAAATTGAAATAGATGAAAATCATAGACGAATTTTCTGGGGTGCGCACCTCCTTCGAGGAAAAATATTCCGCGCCCCCTGTAGGTTTTTTCACCCACCTAGAAAAAATTACACCCCTCTCCCATTCCCCTGAAATTTTGCTCGTTGGATTAAATGACAGTGGTGTGATTGAAAGAGAGATTTTGAACCAAGTAAGACTAAAAACAAGGATTTTGAACTAAGTAAGATCAAAAATCTTGAGGTCGAGGTTTTAAATTTTTACTTTGAAAGGACAATCATAATTAAATAAACTGTACCGATAAATTATTAGTCATTGACCTAATATACATTCTTATTTCCTTTTAGTTTTCGTTTGAACTGATCCAATTCGGCATTTCTCAACTGATCCAATTCAAGAAGGTAACTGATAAAAGAAAAAATCAAGTCCATGATTGGAGTAATTGGCGAGAAATACTCCTGGAAATTGTCATTGGGTTGTTCGGTTAGTTTTGTTGCAAATACTTTTGTTGCAAATACGCCGAGGACGTAAATTCTTAAATTTTTCCGTAGACAGTCGGACGCATCATTGACACACATCCAGGCCTCCGCGCGATATCGATCATACCCTGCGTAACGCACTGGTGCACCATAAATTCATCACTCCACGTTGTTCTTATTCGACAACGTGCATGTAGAAAGATCTTCGCGATACCATTATGATACCAAATCTACAAACACGTTTTTCTGGTCCCAAAATAAATTGAAAGACTGAAATGAATGAAAGACTTTGAGGAAACATGTTATGTAATATATACAGTACATTGTATGAATTTAATGCGGTTTTAGGAGGTTTATGAGCCGATTAATCGAAAAGTAATACCTAGGCAAAGTGATGAATCGGCCATTTCAAAAAATCGGTTGTAAGAAGATTAACGTTAAAGTGTCCTGGTCAACCACAATGCAATGCGCGCTTTTGTTTACGTTTGTCCGTTACTTCTACCAATTGTTGACGCCATTTTCGAGGCCACACAAAATGGCTGCCTCTGGCTCACAACGCGTAACAGAAACGTATTGCATTGTGGTTGCCCAGGACTCTTTAACTTTACATTTTGATCATTGTTACGCTAAACTTATCATTACGGTGTTATCTTTAACATCCGAAATTATTTGGTTTGATTTATGGATTTTTTGAACTTAGTCGACTTTTTAACGAAAGTATTTTAGAGATTTTTCACTGTTTTCCCTTTAACTATACAGGTAAAACGCTAATGCATGAATATATACATTATACTTTATTCTCAATGATTTTACACAACTTTCAGTCTGCATGTTGTTAAGCAGGAAAGCATTTGAGTAAACAAATTTACTGTAACCTAACGCACAGTCATCAACACCGGACTGGTGACAAGCAGCATAACGATAATTAGCGGCAGATGCCTATTTTCGGCCGAGTATTGAGTATAATCGGCTTTAGCTTTAATTAGGGCCGAGACACAACGGACACAATTCGACAACGCGGATTTTTCAATTTTTTGAAAGTTAATAAAGCAGCCAATGAAAGGAAATTTTAAAATATATGTAGGCCAAATAACTCAAAATGTTATAGCGCTTCTAAATATTTGGAAATTACATTAAGCGGACTTAAAACGTGGTGATTTAGTGCCATAAAATTAAGAGCTAGTATGTTTGAAAATTAATTAGCCCAATTTTCGTTCCTCTATTGTTCCTTCTATTTATCGCTGCCGTCAGTAACCGTCGAAACTTTCTCACAAGTTGAATCTTCGCTTAGAATGTCTCTAACGAGAATAACAAAGTTCATGTCTCAAATGTCACGCAAGCAATGTTCAATGTTTTGAATTTCAAGGTTGACCTATAAAACTTACCATTGTATTTGGTTGACAGAGAAACTGATATTAATAGTAAATGGGCATGTTGGAAAAATCTTTCTATGACTGTTCTTGATAAAGATACACCTGCGAGGTAAAGATGGGTAAGAAATAAAACATGTGTAGCCTAACATGGTTACTAGAAAACAAAAGTTGAAAGGAACCCTTTGAAAAGAAAAGCAATTTCATCGGATTTAAGTGAAGACTGCATGGAGCCAGTATAAACATTATTAATAGGAATAGTGTCAACATTGCAATGTGTGAAGCAAAGAAAGTTTACTACATAAACAAATTCGACAAACTTAAGAAAAATCTTAAATAGGCTTGGAGGACGATTAATTTGGATAACCAGAGCATAATAGAAAGACACAAAAACTTAGCAAGCTTTGTTACTATACAGTTTCGTACCACGTAAATAATGTGGCACTCTTCAGATAAAATAGCCTATGTTTGACCTATATAGCTTCTAACGAACTTTTAAATATGTACAGATGCATGGTAAAGGATGCTTATCTAATTACAAATCAATAAACACCTTAAGTAGTGTCACGAAAATATTAGTATCAAGTTATAAAGTTTTTAAGTAGATATTATTATTATTATTATTATTATTATTATTATTATTATAATTCATTTATATAGCGCCATTTCCCATAGCTCAATAGCGCTTAACATTAAGTGTTAAAAATATATACTAAGTGTTAGAACATAGTACATGCATTAACTACTAAAATTACCATACTATAAAATTACTAAAAAAATAATTATATGCTCTTCTCGTTAAGAATATAAAATTACTTTATGTTATGTATGTTGATAATATTAAAACAACAACTATATAGAATACTATAAAATTGATAATAATCTTAAGATAATAACTTAGTCATAATATTGTTTAAAAAGATGTGTCTTTAATCTGGTTTTAAAAATAGGCAAGGTCTCACTCTTTCTAATATACTCTGGCAGTTCGTTCCACAGTTTCGGTGCAGCATATGAGAACGATCGTTCACCATAGTTCACTAGTTTTACTGAGGGTACGGTAAGCAATCCTTTGGATGAGGAGCGTAGCTGATGGTGTGTAAGGTTTTAGCATATTATTAATGTAATGTGGAGCTGAGACATTCAGAGATTTATACGTAATAAGAACAATTTTATAGATGATGCGTTGACTGATGGGGAGCCAATGTAATTGTTTCATTAATGGAGTAATATGATCGTATTTTTTGCTTCCTGTCACCAGTCGAGCAGCACAGTTTTGCACATTCTGTAACCGATCAATAAGAAATTTAGACAATCCGTATAATAAAGAATTACAATTATCCAGTTTCGATGTAATAAAGGCATGAACTGAAGTTTGGATATCTGACGTTGATAAGTACTCTTTTATTCTTGCTATTTTTCTCAAATGGAAAAAACAGTTCTTGCAAATATTGGTAACATGTTTATCCATAGACATGTAGTGGTCGAAAGTTACACCAATGTTTCGTGCTGAAGTACTTGGTTGAATTCTTGAATTAGATACTTCTATATATTCTACAGCAGGGCATGAACGATTTCGTGCATTAATTACTAGTAGTTCAGTCTTGTCCCCATTCAATTTCAATTTCTTTTTGACCATCCACAAATCAATCTCTTTCACACACATTTCAATTTGTGCCAGTGCTCCCAATTTTCCCTCAATGGTTGACTCAAAAGAGAGATATAATTGCGAGTCATCTGCATAAAAGTGAAAATCAAGACCATGACCTCTGATGATATCACCAAGGGGTAAAGTGTATAGTAAATATTGTATAGGGCCGAGAACTGATCCTTGTGGGACTCCACAGCGCAAGTCTTTAGAGATAGATTTAACACCGTCAATCACTAAACTTTGCGTTCTATTCTGAAGATAGGACTGAAACCATTTCAACACTTGCCCATCTATCCCAAATCTTTTGAACATTCGTTGTAGTAAAAGTTCGTGATCAACAGTATCGAATGCTGCTGACATACAGTAGCAGATGCTAAAGTGTCCATTTTAAAATGATGATAGGCCACATGTTCATTAAATTGTTTAAGGTTTAAAATCATGCGATACGACCCATCTTTTTTAGGAGTAATAAAGATGGGTGAAATATATTCCCCAGGTTCAGTAACACTGGGTACAATGACACATTTAGCAAGTAGGCTTTTTATTTCAGAATCAATGACCAGCCTTTCTTTGCTACTAAACATTTTTTTTCTGTTGGAATTTAACCTGAAAAGGGGTTGACGAGAGTTCTATGTGTGCCCCTGTCGCCATATCTAAAATAAATTCATCCGATGTTAACAATTTCCATTGTTCAACATAAGATGACAATCTACCAGCTTGAAAATTAGAAACTTTATTTTTAAGATAATCTAAAAGGTCAGGTATAAAGGAAACATAATCCTGTACCTGTACTGTAGTAAGTTTGTTTAAGATTTGTTCTTTCTCCATTGATTTTGTCTGTACGGGGCCGGTCCTGCCTGCCCCCTCGCCCCCCCCAAAAAAAAGGACCCTTGGGTTTATTTTTTCCGGGCTCTTTGCTTTTTGCAGGCGGTCTTGGGGATTCTAAAGCCATAGTGTTACCAATCTTGTTTGAGGCTTTTATGTTGTTCAGTTGAGACTGAAGCTCATCACCAAACAGGAACTCTGTAACTGGGCCCTGTGGTGAACAAGTGAGTGGCGTGACCAAGCAATGCCACAGCATCAGCATTCATAGTCAACAGCTTTCCTAAATCAGGACCAGTTGTGCCTGAGGGAGTTGTTAGCAATATTTCAGCTAACTGTGTTAAAGCTGTACCAGCTTTTACAATGGCCCTTTGGATGCTGGCCATGTTCAGGTCTTGTCTTGAAGCTGGGCGGTTTAATTTCATCCATATTTCAGGAGTAACCTTTGGTACTGCGAGCTTACCGCAGTTATCTGGACGCAAGTACTGCCCCAGTTTTTCTTTTAGTTTCTCTTCACCTAAAGGCGCCGAAAAACGTTTATTTACGATCTCAGCAAGCTTCTTGGTGACGGCACCTGAAGTATTTTCATCCTCGTCAAAGTCACTCGCAATTTGACTGAGCAAATTCAAGGGCTCGACCGTCGATGTGGTCGTTTCATCTTTTGGCGCCATAATTGCTCGGAGTTGTGCTGAATCGCTGTGTGAGGACTGATCGCTTTCATCGCCTGTGTGCTGGTCGTCATCAATAGTTGGATCGTTACTCGTTTTTTGTTTCTTTTTAGTCCGACTACTGCTGTTAGATTCATCACGAGATCTCTTCAGAGAAGATCCCAACAAAGCAAAAGAAGATGCCACGGCGGCCATGTTTTCGTTCATAGAGTTCATCATTTTCGCGAGCCCTTGCATCGTTATTTCTGGTGAGCCAGCATCGCCATCATCGCCAGTACCATCTTCCCCCAGCAAAGCAGTCTCTTCTGCAACGGAAATATCGCCAGTCTGAGCAGTTTCAGAGTATTTTTCGCTATTTTCCGCAATAAAAAATTTTTTTGAAGAACCTTACTCCTCGAAGGAAAGTACGCTATAAACCTCGCGGATCGCGCGCGCTCTCACGTGACTCCTTAGCGACTGACACCAATGATGAAGTAGAATTGTTGCACTCTTCTTAAATTAACAAGTTTACAAGGGTCATGGAGCATTTGCTCAATTTTGAAGTCAAAGGTTCCCGTCAATACTTTCTTTGGGCTATCAAAGTTCCTTTCTGGCGAAGTAAATTGTAAATTATATTTTTATAGGCTGATGATAATGCTAAAGAAGTGGCTAAATTCACCAAGCCCAGTATGTCTCCATTTATCATTATTGGTGGTACCGTCAACAATCCAAATGAGGAGATGGCCATTGCTGGGGAAAATGAGGTTCTCCTCAAAGCTTCTGGAGGCATTTGAATGCTTGATGTGTATGTATTACATTAATGTAATGTGCAATACCCGAAGGTGTGTGTGTGTGTGAACACTTACATGTTTCTTCAAAGAAGCATACTTAAAGTATTTGATAACCAGAACGTTCCAACCAAAGTATTAATTTTGATGTTAGAACTTAGTAAGATTACTAAGATATAGGCTGACCATGAACATGTGGAGATATTTACCACTGTATATTGTTAAATTGGCAATGTAAATAATCTTGCAATGTTTTTCAGCATTAAATTATTTTAAATCCCAATTTGTTTGTCAATTGAATTTCTTCGAGCAGGTAAAGGCTTTTATCTAAACGTGCTAAATAACAAGTGTTGGTGTAATTTTATTCTTTGTAGTGACTAGATTTACACTACTTTGGTGTCCAAATGGAAGTGAAACATTTGCACCGTATTGGTGTTAAGAAACACTTGTTGGTGTAGTTCTACACTTTGAAAAGTCAATTTACACCGGTTTGGTGTACGAATGGAGGCAAGCAATTTACACCAACTTTGGGTAAAAAAACACTTGCTGGTGTAATTTTACACTTCGAAAAGTCAATTTACACCAGTTTGGTGTACGAATGGAGGCAAGCAATTTACGTCATCTGGGTGTATACAGGTATAAACACTTGCTGGTGTAATTTTACACTTCTAAAAATCAATTTACACCAGTTTGGTGTAAGAATGGAGGCAAGCAATTTACACCAACTTTGGGTAAAAAAACATTTGCTGGTGTAATTTTACACTTCGAAAAGTCAATTTACACCAGTTTGGTGTACGAATGGAGGCAAGCAATTTACGTCATCTGGGTGTATACAGGTATAAACACTTGCTGGTGTAATTTTACACTTCTAAAAATCAATTTACACCAGTTTGGTGTAAGAATGGAGGCAAGCAATTTACACCAACTTTGGGTAAAAAAACATTTGCTGGTGTAATTTTACACTTCGAAAAGTCAATTTACACCAGTTTGGTGTACGAATGGAGGCAAGCAATTTACGTCATCTGGGTGTATACAGGTATAAACACTTGCTGGTGTAATTTTACACTTCTAAAAATCAATTTACACCAGTTTGGTGTAAGAATGGAGGCAAGCAATTTACACCAACTTTGGGTAAAAAAACATTTGCTGGTGTAATTTTACACTTCGAAAAGTCAATTTACACCAGTTTGGTGTACGAATGGAGGCAAGCAATTTACGTCATCTGGGTGTATACAGGTATAAACACTTGCTGGTGTAATTTTACACTTCTAAAAATCAATTTACACCAGTTTGGTGTAAGAATGGAGGCAAGCAATTTACACCATCTCGGTGTAAATAAACACTTGCTGGTGTAATTTTACACTTCGAAAAGTCAATATACACCAGTTTGCATGGTGTACGAATGGAGGCAAGCAATTTACACCATCTTGGTGTAAATTGTCACCAATTGTTACCAATTGTCAAAACAAACAGATTGAAGAATAGTTTTATAATGAATAATTCTTATAATTATTATTAACGTAAATAATAACAATAGATTCGACTATTCTTAGAAGTTGAACTAATGTACATTAGTAGTATTAATATTAATATTTTAGAATTTTTATAATAATACCGAACATAACTAATAAGTTAAATTTTAAAGTTGATAGTTTGCTAGAATCAGTATTGTAAAAATAATCGTAATTCAGCTTTCGGGGCTGCAATGATCTATTTTAATAAAATATCTATCTAAATATCTATCTATCTAAACACTTGCTGGTGTAATTTTACACTTCGAAAAGTCAATTTACACCAGTTTGGGGTACGAATGGAGGCAAGCAATTTACACCAACTTTGGGTAAAAAAACACTTCTTGGTGTATCAAAACACCAATGCACCAATTTTGCACCAATTTTGGTGTTGGGTGAACACTCAGAAATTTAGAGTGATATATATATATATATATATATATATATATATATATATATATATATATATATATATATATATATATATATATATATATATATATATATACATGCAAGTGAAGTTCTTACTGATTGTTGTTACTGAAAAATGGAAACTCAGAATTGCACGGTAGTAGTATTTAATCAGGAATCTTTTTCATTTACAAAATGGTTTCCAAAACGGACGTAAACTACATAAATTCATTTAATAATTAGTAGTTACTAATACAACATTATAAAGTTTTTCCAATAAAAAGTTACGCAACTGCTTACGTATACATGAAGAAATAGTATACATGAAGAAATTTCATCAATAAATAAAAAAATATTCGCTTTAAAAACCATTTCTTTCTAAAACAATTTAGAACACAACAATATTTTCTACAAATGTCTCACTGGAACCGAATTCGACAAAATTTCACTCTTTAGTTTTAGAAAGATAAAGTTTCCTTTCTCTGAATTTAAACGGAATTGCGAAAGTTTTTCATGTATATTCATTATAATTGTATATTGCAATATATGCAAAGATATTCAAACCTTTTATAAACATTTTTCCCCGCCCATGCATAATGTGAGTTCATAACATAAATATGTTCAACGTCGTATATTTTTTTCAGCCAATCTAAAATTTTTACTATAGTTACTTATACAAGCATGTAAAATTTAATTCTGCCTTCCTTTATTTTGCTCAATTCATCATTCTGGTTTCTTTCACATAGGAAATAGTAATCTCATAATTTCCTTTCGAATTCATTGAAAATCTCAACAGACGATATGAAAACCTTCAAAAGATAGGACGTTTAACAGGTGATGGTAATGACAATCCTGGAATTCCCACTATCCGGTCGATTTCTTTAACAGCATACATTTGTTAACAAGATGTTTTAAGGTAAATTTGAGAGACTATAGTTAATACTCCAGGTATTTTATATATACAGATAACATTTCCACATACCCATAGAATACGTTCGTTAACAGTGAAATGAATGTCGTCTACACAATACACGTAATTCTACTTTATAAAAGGTATAGAATTGTTTAGTTGGTCGTAATCAATAATTTACCCAAATTTACATGGCCCAATCGATATCGCGATGTGGCTTACCAACAAAGAAACGGATATGAGTGTCATTCGTGAGTAGATGCCTCGCATATGTCTGCATACATGTAACTTTACATTATCCGTAAGAGATACTTCGTTAGTTGAAGAAATTTTAAGTAATCATAAAAGTGTTGATATTCTGTTAATCCGATTATCGTCATTCGCAAAACACAAATTCTCGTATTTGTCAGTCAACGAGGAAGGGTAGCAAAAGTAAAGTTCTTTCAGCAATCACGTTTTAGTTTCCGAATTTCACTTGGAAAGAAATGTCAAAATATTACAATTTTCCACTCATAAATTCAAAATTGCAGTCTGAATAATACAGTATGAATTACATTGTGCTTGTTTTTCCTCCATCACTTTAATTGAAAATATTTTCTCATGGGAACACATACTGCAAGAAATGTTCGCGCTGTCGTAGAAACAAATCTTGTTGATTAAAGCAATTATGGTCTCCACACATTTGTTTTATCCATCCGCGTGAGGTAATTGTATATTTAAATCTATCACAGCAGTATACCACTAATCCATAACTGCATTACCATAAATTTGCAAGGCCTCATAGATATATCATAAACATAGGCAAATTATGCAGTAACCATCTCCAACAGCATTTTTCAAGCATTGAATTTGGCATATTTTCAGTTGTATTTGTAAAGTTTTCAGAGATGTAGAATTCAGTGTATGAGCATGGTCCAAAACGCACAGTTATTTGATCACTCGTTATGTACATTCATCTAAGAAATTTTGGTGAAACAGGAAGGAGTACGAGTTAATTTTCTTTAAGTACGAGTTTCGATGTCGAGACAATAACACGAATCAAATCTCGCGTGAACTTCTTGAAAGTAGATTATCCTCATCTGCAGGTACGGTCTTTTCAATGAATTATTCTGATTTTAGGGCGTGCAGCGCTGAGCTCCTTCTAGTTCGTTATTTGACTTCTAATTTCAACTTTCTCATGCAATATTAGGCTAATAACAACAATTTTCAGTCATTGGAATTACTTGTTATGCATACAATAAACAATAAAGTTTAAAGCTTAGTTAATATGTTTTTCTGAAAGCTATAAAATAGGATGACGTAATTTTTTATGGTCTATTTTAAAGAGACTTCCGAACTGTAAAATAACTTTTTTATATCTTTTCATTTCCGCGCCTTATATAATCAGTTTTCGTGATATGCAGACAAAGAGACGGCTCATAATGAGCAATCAAAACCTAACATTTTTTGTATTTTTATCTTACATTCAGTATTATAAAAATGAAACAACTCCCGGATAGAGGCATCTCAAAATTCAAGATATAGATTAAATCAAGACAAAATTTCATGTGGCTCACATGCAGTAACATAACCTAAAACATATGTGAGGATTTCAAAATCATTTCATCCGCCAAAACTGACAAAAAAGAACAACTTAATGTACAAAAGAAATTATTTTACAGTCTGGCAGTGATTTTAAATAGCGCAATAGTTAATTTTTCGTTCAAAAATATACATGAAAAAATCCTTGATTCTGATTGGCTAAAGGGATTGCAGTTTTATCAAAATACAGTGTCAAAAAATGAAATACAGTGCCAAAAAGAAATACGTGGCAATAAAAGTAAAAGACATTTTGATATAAAGGACAAACTAAAAATTTAGTTTGTCTCACGTTTAAAATTATCTGTCATGCAGAAAATCGTGCTGCTGATTTTTTATATCAAGCTAACTATTAGAATATTATGATTAAAAACAATGTGCTGTCCGCTATCTTGGATTTATTCTTAGCCACTAGAACGAGTTTTGGGCTCATATTGATCATTGACTTTGGCTGTCAAGATAAAAAAATTTGCGTGACCCAACTTGTGACGTAACATGCATATGAATAATACAAGATGGCAGACAATTCGCTGTTTTCACTCAAAATAATTCAAGAATCAAGCAACATATGAAAAAGCTTTTAACTCCTTGTTAGTTATTTTAAAGCTCTTTCAAATGAGGCAAACTACATTTTTAGTTCCACTGTCCTTTAAGTTTTGACTTCTGGCAGTTGAAAACTTGTTTTAAGCTTTTGTGTCATTCAAACGAAGCAGTAAATAATTTATTTCGTATGCGTTTCATGCATGCAAGTGACCACGCTTCTGTATATTTTTTCATGTGTATTATTAGTAAGTAATAGTATGGTTTCTTGTGCAATTTGGAAAAACAAAAACTCGTGAATTTTCATGCAAAGACTTCTAATTGCTTTTATCCTACGGACTCATTCGTGCGTGCAATTTTGATCGTCTTTGAAAAAGTCGCTCGTGGGTGTTCCAAATTGCACTCGAAACCACACTATTATACTTATACATATCATTTTAAAGGCAACCTGAACTCTAATTGTTAAAGTTTCCAATAAGTTTTCAAAGTGAGTACTAAATGAAAATCGTAGGTGATTCAACAACAATTGTAACTACAACTCTCGTTTTGAAAAATTTTTGAATTTTAATTTATATTGTCAATCAAGGTCTTCAAGGAAATCCTCTGAATAATCCGTCTGCATGTATATGAACGGTCAAAATTTCATATATTTCGACGAAATGCGTTTGAAAATATTATTGAGAATAAATAACTTTTATCAAGCATTCATACAGATTGATCTAAATGTAAGAAAATTTAATCTGTGTAAATTTCGGGCTTCATGCTTAAAAAGTTAGAAATGTATATGAAACTTAGTCCACTTTTAAGCATACTCGAAAGAACCCATTGACATTGTTCAAGATTTTTATGAATGAAAAATTTAACCTAGATCGCCAAACTATATGCATATATTTAAGGCGTAAGGCGGAGCAGTTTCCAAACAGACAACCACACAAATGAATATAACTGGAACGCTACCTTCAGATAAACGGCTTTTCTTTTTCTTAAAGCCAAATCTTGATCAAACCCGCGTGTTTATATCATGATTGACTGATTCAACGCTTTTCGCATGTGAGAAAAGACTGGAATTAGCTTTCAAGTTTGGCTTCAAATTTCCGGTTGGAGGTAGCGTTCCAGTCATAATCATTTCAATACTTCAATACAGACAACGTATCCACCTTTTAAAACTATTATAGTTTTTGCTCGAATCACCTTTAACAAAACTATAACTTTATATTATTGTGAATTTGTATGCAGTTAACCGCCGAAGATTTGCGTGACATTTTTGTTCAAAAAATTATTCTTTCTCAGCTGATAGGAATCACGTCGTATTTTAAAATACATTTTAATGGCATTTTCATTTAAAAATTTGCTAAATCTCTTTGATGCCTTTAAAGCAATGAAAAAATAGAAAACATTCATATCGCGTCGGTGGGTCTATTTACCTTAACCTTGAATGGATGATTCCAGCTACACTAATTTGATCCAGACAAGAAACTTAAGACGAAATATATCATTATAGCTTAAAAAAGAACATCCTTAAATTAGTAAATTGCCAAACTTGGTTGCAAAATGTTGTAAAATACGGGAAATATAACCCTGTGAAATGAGCACAATTCGAGTATTTTAGTATTTCGCGTGGAAAACATGCACCACTTTTGAGCAGAAAATAATCTACATTACAATAATCCAATCGTAATGTCTACAAAGTTTCTTCGGTGTTTTAAGTGAGATACTCAGTCAGACTTTGTCAAATATCTTTTCTACAGTTAGTTGTCAAAAGACATTATAATATAGCATTTGTAAATTCTGAACGCTGATTGGCTGTGTTGATATAACTCGATTTCAACACGGGAAATTTTCCGCCGCTTGTAAACACGGAAATTTTTCTTATCCTTCGGTCTTTTGACATTGCTATATTATAAAAAAATATAAAACATTTTTTCCGTATTGATATATAGTTATATCAACACTCGTGGAAGTTGGGAAAACTCGAAATTGTATGAAAACACTCCGCCCTTCGGGCGTCGTGTTTCCATACAATTTCTCGTTTTTCCAATTCCACTCGTGTTGATATAACTGTATATCAACACGGAAAATGTTTTATATTTGTTAAATATCACGTGTATCGAAATTTGACTTTCTGAGGAACAACCTTAAAATAGATGATATGCTTCCTATATTCAGTTTGAAATTCTTTACCACGGATCTTTTACAAAAATTTTCACTTGTGCTATATAATACCTATCAACCTCTAGTGCCAGGTATGAATATTGTCTAACATAACAGCTGCAATTTCTTGCATCATTAATTGGATCAAGTGTGTGACTAGCGAGGCAAGGCAACTTTAATCAAGTCAAAATTTTCTGACCAATCAAGGCCAGCACAAACAATGCCTCGTTTACGACAGATAGAAATTGGTACTGGATTATCACCAACATCCACACACGTTAAAATTTCACCACGCTCTACGTTTATAAAGTATAACATACGATTGGCAGAGCTACACAATAAGTTTTCGTCGTCAAAAAACTTCAACCATAAAAGGTCGTAAAATGCCACATAAATAGGAACATGTGCAAGAAAACCTTTTGAGACTACATCAAATATTACTATTTTGTTACTTGCTGTACTGGACAATGCTAATCTATTTCCCTCAGGAGAAAATTCGGCGAAAATTTCTCGCAGTTGAGTATCAAAAACATTTCCCCAACCTTTTACTATCTCTCCATCCTTCAGTAAAGAAGTTTTACCAGACTGCATCAGCGCGTAATCCCAAAAAGGAATTTCATTGGACACTGTCTCTGCGAGAACATAGTATTTAATGCTGCATGCATGCACCAACAAAATACCTTCCTTAAAAATCGTTGTGCATGTTATTTGTTCGCTAAAAACATCAAAAAATTTAATAGAATCCTCGTACACACAAGCTATTACTTCGTCCGATACTGACAGGCATCTACTTGTGCCAGCCAGTTTATCGAAGCTTGCGAGACGTTCTGCTAAATCACTACTCCAGAGCTCTGGGGTGTCGCTATCTCTTAATAAAATCACACCGTCTCTCACAACTTGAAAACTTAACTTATTTGACTCTGGAAAAACCTTTAAATGCTTATCTTTTGTACCAAGCTCACAAATGGTAAATCGTTTGGTCACCCTGTTATTCAAATAAACAAAATCACCATTTGTAGATATGTCAGAAACAACAGCGTCATTGATATTGGGCTCCTGTTCCTCTGTATTCATTAAACCCTCTATATTAAAAACGCTCATGATATTTGAATTACAGGAGAAAACCAAGACACCATGATCTTCTGTTAAGACATATCTAATCGCAGCATACCTAGACAAGCCAAATTTGTTAGTGAGGTTTTTCTTCACTCTTGAAAACCAAGACTGCTCTGGACGTTGCAAGAAACGTTGTAATTCACGAGAAGAGTGGACATTACTAGGTAAAACTATTTTATTAAGATGGCATCTGCTAGAGGAAATAAAGAGGTTATGATTAACAACTTGTAACCATTGATGAACAGAACAAAGCCACAAATTTTGATCAAGTGTAGAAACAATTTCCACGGGGGAGTTGCAATCAATTCTTTTCGAAATAACTTTGTAATCATTCGTCACATCGTAAACCGCGAAAGCGTTTTCAATATCGGTAGTGCCCAAAAAATTACCACTAGCAGTAAAAGAAAACGAATATAGCGTATTACATGGAAGGCATCTTTCCTTAATGGCGCTTAATACATTCCAAACAATCAAACAATTGCTGAAATATGTTACCATTCTGTTACCATCTAAGGAAAAACAACAATTTGTAAATATAGAACTAGCTTCATCAGATTGAAATGGACTAACTGTAAATGTTCCCTGCAATGTCAGCACCTTATCTAGTCTCCCAGGAAGTATCAAGCTTTCATGAGGGTGAAAAACAATACAATGAGGCAACGTACATGTGTCATAATTACGATCAGGAATGAATGGAACAGCAGGAACTTTGACCAAGAAATCTTGTATTTTCCACTCAGACTTACCAGCTGCTAACGAAAAGAGTTCGATCCCACCGGCTATGTAACTACAGATAACGTAATCATGTTTAGGAGATATGTCAATACCTGATATTTTGCCAGAAAGAAGAAAACGGGCTTCAAGCGCGTCATTTTTCCTGTCTTTGTTGACCAATTCCAAATAAGTTATATCCTTGTAACGTGTCTGAAGCAAATTGGAAGCCTTAAATGAAAGTTCTTCTCCACCCTCAAAATACACGTTCTGTAAGAATGTTTGGGGATAGTCTCTGAATAAGATGTCAAACTTTCCTATTACAAAAATCAAACGGTTCAACGTTTTTCTGATGTTCTCAGAAACATTTTTGTAGATCTCATGATTCATAAGGCGACTGCAATTGTTCAAAGTAAGATCTACATTGACACAAACACTAGCAAACATAACTTCCAAGTCTGCAACATAGTAACTTACAAAGCACACTAGTTTTTCTCTATCTTCTGGTCCACTTAGCAAATGCTCTATGCAGTGTTTTAATGCATACTTGACAGCAACACACGCAAGACCTTCATTACTCACGCCAGTTTTCTTCAAATCATCTAATATCTTAACACATATATCAAAAAGGATCTTATGACCATATTGAACATCAACAGAGTAATCATGCTCGGAGTTGTCAACAAGCCAATCTCTTATTGATTTATGAAAGATCGAAATAGATTTGTCTTCCGTGAGCACAAGAAGAGACGAAATTGAATTAATGGCTTTTGTCACCTTTCTTCTGGCCGTTGGAGAATTCTTAAAACCAAACAGGGTTGTAACAAACGCCTCTGGCAACGCTTCATTAGCAACTGCAAGAGCACTTAAAAATGACAAGAATTTATCATCGGAAATTTCCAAAAGATTTAATTCGCGTTCTAGTCTTTGGAAATATTTTTTATAATACTCCTTAACACCCTTTGGTAAACTGTTTGAACTACTAAGGATGGATGGTTCATCCTTAAACATTTCTGAAAGAAAAAAAGCATTAAGCATTAAACCACCAGACGTTTCAGCTATATTATTTATAAAATCTTTTGTAGGTCGATTCGCAGTTGAAATTCTTTCTTGCAGTACCAGTATGATGTCGTTCAAATTTCGTATATCATTAGGTTCAACATACAAAGGGTTAAGTTCTTTAAATTTATCGAGAAGATTTTTCTCTGGTCTCGTGGTGATCACAAAACGAATATAAGAAGGGGTTTTGTGCAACTGATCTGAGATCAAATTAGCAAGCTCATCCCTTCCATGGTACTCACTTTCATCAACAGCATCTAGAACAATCAATATGCGCTTTCCAGGTTCCGCAATACCCGAGAATGGTTCTTTAAAAAGAATAGAAAATAATCCTTCAATATTCATACTATTCAAGGATTGTCCGAGATTGCCAGACAGCTTCTGGATAAGAGCTTCTTTGTATAAAGGTACAATTTTACATAAGTGCCAAGCTAAAGACTGAAGAAAGAAATTTGGATTGCTGTATTGACTGTTATTGTATTGAAAGAAATGAGATGCACCAACGTGCTCGGCAAACCTTTTACAGATAACAGCAGCAATAACGGACTTACCCATGCCAGGAAGACCACATATAACAAATGCGCGACTTTTTGAAGTTTCATCATTAAACCAAGTTGAAAGATTTTCAAATACCCATTCCCGAGTACCCTTCGTAAATTTAGCATTATACAACTCGATCTCTGTCTGAAAATCACACCATACAAGGTGTTTGTTCAAAATGCCGTCAGATCGGGATTCCTTGTCTTTTTTAGTAAGAGCTTTCACATCATCTTTGATGTCATTCAAAACGTTCCTGTTTTCATTCAAAACGTTCCTATTTTCTTCCAAAGCATTCACAATTTTGTTATCACATTCATTCCATTCATTCACCACTCACTCTACTTCCTCTTCCGCACACTCCTCGTTTTCTAATCTATCTATTTCCTTCCGATCTATCCCTAAACGAACTAATGGCAAACTTATTTCTGCCCAGAAAATCTTAAAATCTGCCGTATTAACAGCTGTTTTAGCTATGTGGCCAAAACGCTCATTACGAAATAACTTAATACGAACGATATCTGCTACAACGGAATGATCCCCAACATTCGGCTTGTTGTCCCAACCGGAACATGGTGGTGATAAGCCACATATGTTTCTTAAAAGAACAGATAATAAGGTAACGTCAAGATCATTAATATTTGGTCGGTTGGGAGGGACAGGGTATAATTTATCCCATTGTTTTTGATTGATTATTTTGCTTTTTTTAAGGTTAGAAAGAATGCGCTGATTGATATATAATACAACCTGTAAATTTCCAGCAGCATGAATGTTTCTAAAGACGTTCCTCAATGCTTCTGTTCCACCATCCAAAATCAGTCTCATCAACTTAGTGCCATTAGATGTCTGATCTGAGTTGCCAAGCATTGAAGATGTTGAGCTACTTGCCATGATCACCTGCAACATAAAAAATTATACAGCTTGCATGGGTTTGTTTTAGTGAATCATGCAGTTTGATTAGCTGTTTAGCGGACATTATTTGGTCAAAAGAATAAAAAAAGTGGTTAAAATAACCTAATTTACTTTTTTAATCAATAAAATACTGGTGAAATAAGTATATCTAAGACAATCAATTCAAACTGGTTATTTTAAAAAATCTGTTTTTACAGAGCATATCGCCAGAAGGCAGTACGAATTTTTTATTGTCCTGACACAAAAAAATTGAGTTTATAAACACGGATATGTTGACGCACTGATTAGGGATCAAACTGTATGTAGGACTCAGTTGAAAAATTAACTCCGTTTTACGCAAATTCAAAAGAGTTGAGCTATTGATAAATTCCAAGTCCCACTACAAAAAGAACAATGATTCAGTTCTTAAGAGGTAGCAAATCTTCAAGTTAAGCCCCGACCACGCCCATTTCCGTTGAGGGCTTAACTCGAAGTACATAACTGGAGTTAGGCACTTCGAGTTAAGCCCTCTAGAAAATAGGGGCTTAACTCGAGCAAAGTCAAACATTTTGTTCTTCGAGTTAATCCCCAACGTTACGTTGAAAGATGTAAACGAGTTACGGTTAATCTGATCACAAACAAATTATCATTTGGATCGCGTTTCGTTCAACTAACACACACACACACACACATATATATATATATATATATATATATATATATATATAGAGTGCTTCGACACTCAATATATCGACTTCGACTATATATAGAGTGATTCGACACTCAATATACTTATTGACATTCGCCTATATATATATATACATATATATATATATATATATATATATATATATATATATATATATATATATATATATATATATATATATATATATATATATATATATATATATGCTGCATGTTTGCCGACTTCTTGATCAATAAATCATTCATATACTAATACTAATGTTTCGAGGGCATATTTATTCCGATCGGGTATCTCTCCTAGCGGCCAAGTCGTGTTCAAGAAAACCATTTTTATGTCAAATTGCACCTTCGTATGGTTATAAACTGCTGCCGAGCGATTTTCTTTTTTTCTTAAATGGACAAGTGTAGAGTAATCTATATAGCGAGTGTAAAAAACATGTTCTTGAGCAATATCGCTTCGTGTTTTGCATGCGATTTAAAAAATATGTGAAAATGTGTATATTTTTGCATGAAATAGAATATGCAGCATGCAGATTTGGGCTCATTAGCGCCGTGATTTTAGCTCATTTGCCTGTATATAATTAGTGACATGCATGGTAGTCTAGGACCTGTATATGAGTTTGTATGCGATTCATTTAGGACAGGTAATCTCAACTGTTTTAGGGTAAAATGACCATGGCGGTCAACATGGCATATGTGCGAAAACCTGAATCTGGGGCGAAAGTCCTGAAAATGACTCCGCCCTGAAACGGCAGTGTCGACATAGCTCTAACTTCCGAAAGGGAAAAGCGATAGCCTTTCTGAAGTGCTTATGGTGTTTAGAAGGGTTGCTTTTAGGGGTGGACATTGGAAGGAAAAATTGTCTAAGTATAATATTTTACCAGAGAATGACCATGCACCACCCCAGGTAAATTGCTGATTATGCACAAAATAACTAATATGCCTGGCAGAAATTAAATTTTCTTATTTCCTAAAAAAAATTATCATGGGATGAAAAACTATGCTTAGTTCAATATAATTATTGTGGATTTCATAAGGATTGTTATTGTATTCTTTTAATATAATACATTTTATTTCACTTACCCCCCACGAAAACACGATTTCAGCCATATTTTGCCGTCTTGTTTGCTTTTTATCGCCGAGTCTCGCAAATATCATCCAGTCGTTGTACTTTTACATAATCATAAATGGCCAAAGAGTATTTCACCCAAGTTTCATGAAGTTTTGGAACTGTGCAGTGTATTTTATCTTCGATATTGTGTCCTTCGATATTTCGTCAAATTGCCGCCATGTTAATGGCTCGCCGCTTCTCTTACCGATAAATGCCACTTCTCCGTTTTCACATGTATTTAGATTACATTTTCCGTTTTCATATGTATTTAGATTACATCGAAAAATTGACAACATTTGTCCCATTTGGGACGAAAAACCCTCCCGTATAGTATACGGGAGGGTTTAGGTTCAAAATAAAAAACAAGTCATTTGAAAGTCACGCGCAATCTTCGCGAAAACTTCTCGTGGACACATGACAGGGGGGGGTGAATATTTTCGCGAAACGTTTGTTCGCCACCACAGAAACATAACTAAATATATTGTATTTATTGTATTTTCATGATTTGTGATAAAAACAATAAATATTTGCGTAGTTTTGTCATAAATCATAAAAATACAATAAATACAATATATTTAGTTGTTTCTATGGTGGCGAACAAACGTTTTGTGGAAATATGCACCCCCCCCCCGTCATGTGTCCACGAGAAGTTTTCGCGAAGATTGCGCG